CAAGTGTATGCAGTCTATGAAATTTGTGAAATCTGCCTGTGATCATTGTCTTTATTTCAAGAATACTAATTTTGTACCTGTGTTCTTGTTAATCTATGTGGATGACATGTTGATTATTAGCCCTTGTCTTAAATCTATTTTGTCTGTTCAAAAATGTCTTTGTGAGAACTTTGCGATGAAAGATCTTGGTGATGCCAAGAGGATACTTGGGATTAACATTATTAAGGACAGGAGCAAGCATACTCTTGTTCTAAATCAGATTTCGTATGTTGAGAAGGTTTTGAGTAAGTTTAATATGTCTTCTGCTGCACCTGTGCATGTTCCTCTTGCCTCTCATTTTGTGCTAAGTAAGAATCAGTCTCCTAAGACTGATTCTGAAATTGAGCTTATGAAGTCTGTTCCTTACTCCAATGCTATAGGTTCTGTGATGTATCTGATGGTTAGTTCTAGACCTGATATTGCCTATGTTGTGAGTTGTTTGAGTAGGTTTATGTCTAATCCTGGTATGCCTCATTGGAATGCTTTGAAATGGCTTTTGAGATACTTGAAATTTTCTGCTAATCATGGTTTGATTTTTACTAAGTGTACTGAAGGTGTGAAACTGAGTGGTTATGTTGACTCTAACGATGCTAATGATAAAGACAATAGGAAATCTACCACTTCCTATGTGTTCACTTTGTGTGGGTCGTGTATTAGTTGGAAATCTCAGTTACAGCCAATTGTTGCCTTATCAACCACTGAAGCTGAGTATGTTGCAGCTACAGAAGCTTTCAAGGAAGCCATCTGGTTAAGTCGTCTTGTTGCTGAAATAGGTTTTCTCAAACAGGATGTTACTGTGTTTTCTGATAGCCAGTCTGCTATCCAGCTTTGCAAAAACCCTGTTTTTCATGACAGGACCAAACACATTGATGTGAGGTTCCATTTTATTCGTGATGTTTTAGATGCAGGTAAAGTGAAGCTGTGCAAGATACCCTCAGAGTTCAACCCTGCAGATATGGGGACGAAGTGTCTATCTGCTGAAAAACTTTTGTCTTGTAAACGAATTTTGAATTTGAACTGCGGTTAACTCTGTTTGCAGGTTTTGGGTATGTTGGAGGGTAGATTCTTGAAAGCGTAGTGCTTGAGAGAATCTACTCTCACGGTTAGGGAGAGTACTTTGGGTACTTCTCCAATTTCCTTTTGGGAGTATTTTGTGTATCTCCAATTTGTTTGCCAGTTATGTCTTTAGGATATCACTGGTGACCCAGCGATGATGAACCACGTGCTCATGTTACTTTGTGATACCATGCACCACCAATGATGGCCAATAAGGTGGAGAGTGTGGAGGTATTGGCCCCACGGGCCAAGGCAGCCCTCTCCTTTCTATTGGGCCTGTTTGCTTACCTCTGCCCTGGCCCATGTTGTTCTGCCGCTAGCCCTTCCTCTGGAACCCTCCTTTAGGGCTTCCCCTATTGCCCGGGTACTTAAACTCTTCTACGCCTTTGGTTGACGTAGAGGTCTTCGGTTAGAGAGAGTGTGTGAGGTTAAGAGAGAGTGAGAGAGACTTTTGTCTCTTCTCCATTCCGGTCCCTCTGTGGTATTCTCTCTGTGCCTCCCCTTTTCTGACCTTTGGCGTGCGTTGAGATGGCTGGGCTGGTCTGAGTGTTCTTGTCCCTTCCGGTGGTGCTTTGGTGTGTGTACTGTATGAGCGTGGTCTGAGCTGGAGAGGTGAAAACCTGACACTAATGGTCATCATTTGTCCTTGATCCTAAATGCTAAATGCTAAAACCCTAATCTCATGATGCAAGATCATGGCACCGTAAATTCCATCGTACAACCGGCTGCACGATGAGCATCATACAGCCGGCCATTTTTGTAATTAAATCTGGATCGCTGCAACTCACCAACGAAGAACGACAGTCAAGTCCGTCGCTATATCTTCTCTCTTCCAACAGGTTCCGGCTAATATGCTTCCCGGTTGCTTACTGCTTCTGCAATTTCACAAATCTTATTCCATGAGATTTTCGCTTCTTCTCATTCTTTCTAAGCCTCTCACGTAAAAGAAAAATCTATCTCAATCAATAAAACACAATCATGAAGGTCACCATCAAACTTTCCACTTCTATGGAATTAAATCTCCAAATAATTGAATCTCTATTTGATTTATCTCCACTTCTATAAATTAGGAGCTCTATTCACTCAGGTTTGCATTCATATTGCCAGAGTTATTGGGGCAAATGAGCTTTTGAATTTTTTTATACTCATTTTGTAAGTTATGTATGTTCATTTGGAATCGCTTTATGCTCATTTTAAAAAGTTGCACATTTCAAACATATCATACTCCTTCCGTCCCTTACAACTTTGCCAACTTTCCTTTTTTGGTTGTCCCAAAAACTTTATCACTTTCCCTTTTAATCAATCAATTTGTGACTCATGTTATTTCTCTCTCCACTGTACAAATCTCTACCACACGGTTTACTTTATTATTCTACGTGCCGGTCAAACTTGGCAATCCTTTTAGGGACGGAGGGAGTACTACATTAGAAATGAATTTTATGTTAAATTCAAATGAGTATAACGTCCAAAATGAATGAGCACACACAAATGCGTTTTTGATTTTTTTATACTCATTTGTAATTTATGTGTGCTCATTTGGTGCTGCTTAATGCTCATTTTAAAAGGTTGCACTTTTTAAACATATCATACTACATTAAATTCACATATTGAAATTAATTGAAATTGATTATAGACATAACTTAAAACTTTCTAACAAACGAAAAAATAATAAACAGAAAGTCATATATATAAGGTATGAAGCAGAGATCACTGATGCTCATCGTTAGACTTCTAATACTCAAAAGAACAGATTTGATGCTCATCAAAATTGCATAAATGCTCATTTAAGAGAATACACGATTTTCATAAAAATTACAAGTTTGCCACCGGTTATACAGTGATCATTGTACAGCCGGTTGTACAGTATACAGATTCATCGCCACTGTCCGGTTATGGGTAGTTTGTGATCAGAATATATAGTCGTGTCCACCCAACTAGACATGGCACCAACTATAATTCGTCTTTCTTTCTAGTTTGTTTCACAATAAGCTTATAGTCTTCACTACACGAGTTTGAATAAACATTTAAAGGTCTTGTTTCAATCGGTTGATAGCTGTTAGCGGTTAGCTGGTTATGACAGCTGATGAGCAATAACTAATTGTGTCAACTGTTTTAGTTGACTGATTATAATAGTTTTTTGTCAACAGATATTTGATATATTAGCTGTTTAAAAATAGTTGTTTGTTTGTAAAAAGACATATAAGGACATTAGTAATTAATTTAACTTCTACTTAAGCATTTCAAAAATTATAGGTAGTATTTTATATTGCAGACAAATCATATACATAGTGTTAAAAAGGATAGAGATGAGTTAAGACAGTTTGTACAGTTAAATAAGTTAATTTTGGTCAAAGAAGCCAAAAATCAGCTGATCAGCCGTTTTCCAAACATAGCCAAAGTTTAGTAAATATTTAACTTTTTATGAGTTATTGTGTATATAAATATACATTAAATTCTTTCAAATAAAGTGTTTTCTAAATGAAAAATAAGAACTAATTTTGATTACCGATCTAAAAAGGGGAATAAATTAAGTGGTGTATTTTTAAGGTAAATTTGTAATAGCATTTTAGGAATGTAAATATGTAATATTTCTGACATTTTATAGTGTATACATAACTGATAATAGTGTCATATTTATATATAAAAAAGTGCATCATATCTTAAACAAAATGTGAAAGAATCAGGTCTTGTCATGATTTGTAGTTAATGAATTGTAGTGCATTCTAGTATTACACTTAGGGTGGGTAAAAATACCGGAAAATCTATACCGCACTTACCATACCGAAAAATACCGAAAAATACCGGAATATTGGTATGCCGTCATTTTTGGTACGGTATCATACCGTACCGATTTATTTCGATACTTTAACGGTAAATGCTTTCAAATACCGCGGTATACCAGTATAATACGGTACCGTACCGACTCCCTACCCAACAATTACTTTTAATTCTAGAATATTGTAAAAGTCCATTACAATTTTGAAGCCCAAAATTAATACTTACGTTGGTTACAAATCTCTAATGACTAATGAGTGATGTACTAATGTCCAAAAATAAGTTCATCTTGTTCCAAGAGCTTGTGAATTGCGTTGATTGAGTCTCTGAGTAGCTGATGAGTGAAGAGGGATACACTTATGTGACGAGTCGAGGCACACAACTTTGTTCGAAAGTCTTATTCATTTTTTTAAAATTATAAAAATGACTAAATGCACAATATCATATATAGTATTAAGAATAAATGATTTTATATACATGTTGTTTAAATAATTTTATTTATTATTGTTAGAGATCACTATTGATTTAATTATATCTATATCGTTCAAGTTATTTTAGGAGAATGTGTTATTTTTTTAATACGTGGCATGTTGAACTGCTTAAATATACTAATAATAATTATTGTTCAATATTGAATATGACATCAATAGATTATTAATTGTATTTGTAACATTTTAATAATGGATTAAATATTTTGCATTAGGAGACATGCATGGTAATTTACCGATACTGTACCGACGTACCGTTACCGAACCGAAACATCGATATACCAAAATGCGGTATACCGAAACTTCGGTACGGTAACGATATATAAATTTTGCATACCGAAAGTTTTGGTACGGCAAAGGTATGAGAGAAAATATTTGGTATACCGTATCGAACCACCCCTAATTGCACTGATATGCTTTGTTCGTTCCTTATTTCGCGTTAAGTCGGTCATAATTATGTTAATGTCACTGATTTTTAATTGTAAATTGATTTAATCCACATATTAGTCTTTCTCATTTTTAATGGGAAACGATATTTTTACTGAACTCATCCCCTATACAAACACAATATACTTGATTTTTTAACTAAATTAATATAACTTAATTAAATTTATATTTCCATCAATTTGTAGAAGTATATGATTTGTATCTAAAATGAATGTACATGGGAGTATTTATACAATACACGTATGATTCAAACCAAGTGAAGGGATAAGCTCTACCCTTAACTGGTGAGAATATTACTCAAAATAGGACTAAAACGTATACTTTGAAAATTTCAAAAGAGGACTGTCATGTTTTTATTCCCAAAATATGACTAATTACTGTCATGTTTTGACAGTACCAGACTTCAAACATGGCAGTATTTTCTAAACATGACAATAATTAGTCCTATTTTAGGAACAAAAAACATGACATTCCTATTTTAAAATTTTCAAACTGTTTCAGTCCTATTTCGGGAACTTTCCCTTAACTAATCTATACAACTCAAGGAGATAAATACATAAATGAGTAGAATAATATAATTGTACACATATTAACATAAATATAACGTGACATGCATAAATATTATTTAATACGCTCCGCAAGATGGAGGATCCGTCGGAGACTCCTAGCTTGGCTCGAAATTGATGAAATTGTAGTTTGCCCAGTGGTTTAGTGAGAATGTTAGCAATCTGGCATTTTGTAGAAATATGATTGACCTGAAGTTGACCGTGTTCAATGAGTTCCCGGACAAAATAAAAATCCAAGGCTAGATGCTTCATGCGGGAATGAAATACCTGACTGGTGCAAAGATATGTGGCCCCTTGATTATCACAAAACAGTTGGGGTGGAACAGAAATGGAAATACCAAGCTCCGATAAAATGTTATGGAACCATAGGAGTTCCGCACTAGCGTTCGTCATGGCTCGATATTCTGCCTCCGTGGATGAACGAGACACACACTTTTGTTTGGCAGATTTCCATGAGATGATGTTGGACCCTAGATTTAACACATAAGATGTAGTAGAACGGCCACCATCATGAACACCAGCCCAGTCGGAGTCGGAGAAAGCGAAGAGTGTGAGATTAGTTTGCCGACGAAGGAACAAACCATGATATAGAGTGCCTTTAAGATAGTGGAAAATCCTTTTGACGGCTGCCCAATGAGTAACCGTAGGACAGTGCATGTACTAAGAAAGTTTATTTAGCGCAAAAGATATATCTGGCCGAGTGAAGGCTAAATACTGAAGAAGTCCCAAGGCCCGACAATATTGACCGACCTCACTAAAACTTGGACCATTGTGGAGATGCAAGATCGCAGACGAGCTCATTGGAGTAGTGGAGTCCTTAGCATCCTCGCATACAGAAGAATTCAAGTATATTCGAAATATATTGTCTTTGTGAGAGAAAGAGACCATCCTTAGTGGAGATGACCTCAATGTCAAGGAAATGAGTTAGGGAACCAAGATCCTTGATCGAGAACCGGACAGTAAGTTGAGAAATAAAGTGTTCAATAGCCTTGGAAGAATTCATTCCCTGTGACTCTGTGAGAATCATGTCATCTACATACACCATAAAATATAATAAAGTGCCATCACAAGAGTAGTTGAATACAGAAGCATCAGCCCGAAACTTTTTAAACCAACCCTAAGGAGAAACCGGATTAAGGATGTTTTTACTTGGACTGTAATTCGTCCCAGACCAGACCAGACCAGACCAGACCAGATCAGACCAGACCAACAAATTACAGTCCAAGTAAAAACATCCTAATTCAAGATATCAGGTCCAGGGTGTCTGTTTAAGTCCATAGAGACATAGAGTGCCTTCTGTAATTTACACATATAATTAGGCTTAGTAGGATATTTGAAACCCGGTGGTTGGACCATGATGATCAAAGGAAAAATAGCCGGAAAGAGAATTAATGGGTGTAGGGGAGAAACTCTTTAGAGAATGACTCTTGATATCATGTAGAAGTATATGATTTGTATCGATGTAAAATGAATGTACATGACTACATGGGAGTATTTATGCATAAGGGAGATTTCAACAAATAGGACTTAATGATACTAATTTTCCAAAATTAAGACTATAGATTAGGGTAAGACTTAAGTACAGGAGCTTTGACCAAATTGTCTTTCATTTTGCTATACGTTTTTAAACCCCTGCGCATCAAACCAGGCCGCCCCTTCGTCATCTGCAAATTGACGCACCCAGGAAACCAAGGGCCGCCGCAGCACCAAACCAGGCCGCCCCACTAGCCGCCGCCGAACCGCGCCAGTCACCGCCACGCCGCACCAACGCAGACCACCGCAGTCGGCCACCGCCTCCGCATCCGGCCATCGCTTCGCCACCGCCTCTGCAATTGGCATCTGTCTCCACATTCAGCCATCACACCGCCCACCGCCTCACGTGCACCGCTACTGTCCCTTGCATCGCTGCCGCGCTACTACACTGCACGCCTCCGTCGCATTCTTCTTCTTCTCTTTTCTCCGCTAATAAACATTGCTCCGAAGCCCTAAAACTCAATCGAGATCCAAATCTGGAGATGTATCGAAATCAGTGAGGTACGGTGGTGGCGATGATGTGTTGTGGCGGTGGACGCTCATGTGTTCTGCAAAACTTTTGAAGAAATCAGATCCAAAATCAAACTTGCAAAACACTAGACAATACATAGACATTAAGTAGTCAGTAAACAGACAATAATTTTGAATAATAACTCAATAGCAGGCAATACATAGACAGTAAGGGTAAAATTGGAAATTTAAAATCAAGTTTTCGAAATTAAAACTACATAGCTCTTACGGAAGGAAGAAACATAGGTATGTACTATTTTTATAAAATTGCTTTGATTAAGTCCTATTACTAGCAATTTTCTCTTATGCATACACGTATGATTCAAACTAAGTGAACGGATAAGCTCTACCCTTAACTAATCTACACAACTCAAGGAGATAAATACATAAATGAGTAGAATAATAATCGTACACATATTAACATAAATATAACGTGACATGCATAAATATTACTCCGTATTTAATACTTCATACAATTTAGGATTAAAGAGAAAATAATCCACTTTTTACTCCGTAATTAATTAATAACGTCATGTTTCATTGTTAGGGCATCCTCATTGGGAGGATTATTACAAGATTAAATTGGTGACATGGCAGTTTTTTTAGAGAATTATCAATGAGTGACATAGATTATTTAATAGGATTATTTGCTACAATAATCTGGGATCAAAATATGAATCCGGATTATTTTAAGATTATTTGAAAAGTATATGTAATAGAGATAAATGCGGGACAGAGAAAAAATAGATTATTTGAAGATGATGATTGAGAGACATAAACGAATTTTGAGATTATTTTATAATTAATTACATAACAATATTTAAATGGTAAGAATCATATAAAAAATTGATTATTAGAGATCATGAATGGACACAAGTAGTAACACAGCCATTTAATTTTTCCCATTTTTTTACTTTTTCGATTCTGTAATCAATATCTGGTGGATTTATGTACAACAAAGGGTCTATTCATCCGAAAATATACAACAAAGGGTCTATTCATCCAAAAATACTCCTTCTGTCCGTAAATAAAACATTTTTTCATTATTTGATAAATAAATATCGATCAATTTACTCTAGCTACCCTTTAACAATATTGTTTATCTTGCAGTAATTTATTTTCAACAAAAAGGGCAATCCAGAAAGCCCCAAAGATTTTTTTCATAAAATAATGCTCTGAAACTAGGAAGTTTAAATCAGGACATAAATAGTACTACCTGATAAATGATTGGGAAAAATAATTAAAATACCCCAAACTTTGAAGGGTGTGAGATAAACACCCCGAACTTTCATATGTAATTTAAATACCTCAAACTTTATATAAAATGTTATTTTAACACCATGATTATGTATGATTTCTTTCAAAAATATAAATTTATGATGTTAAATGCATAATTTAAAATAGACAATTGAAAACATTAGAATTATATATAGTGGTGGGTAATACTATTTATTTTATAATGGAAGCTTAGAATGTTAATTGTATCTTTATGAATGTTAAAAATTACTCCGTATCAAATTACTACGTATGAAATAAACACCAAAAATTAATATTTTTGAAAGAAATAATACATGAGCATGGTGCTAAAATAACTTTTTATTAAAAGTTTGAAGTATTTAAATTACATACGCAAATTTGGGGTGTTTCTTACAGTCTTACACCCCTTCTAAGTTTGGGTTTAATTATTTTCCCCTAAATGATTATAAGAACCAAAAGTGGTGAGATATCAATAATTGCATACCAAAAGTAAAAATTAAAAAACTATTACCAAAAGTATCTTGTATTCCTCTTATCAAAGATGGAATATTACCAAACTAGAACCTTAAAAAGTTCATCCCAGCTTGGTTCAGTTATAGCCCTACGTGCCTACATAGTACATACCTAGAGAGATTGATCAACGAGAAAATTTTGAAATATCATTGTTATCAAGTATACAACAGTTTCTTATGGGTAAAGGCATTGAGCATAAATCGGCACAATTGGGAGGAAGATATATAAGCAGCAAGGCAAAATGGAGATACAAATTACAAAAGCACAGGTCTTCTGTGCAGGCATTCCAGGCAAGTGTGTTGTTTATTTTCAAAAGCATGAAACTCTGAAGGTAAAGAAGTTCAAAATAATTATGAAATGAAAATTAAGATGATGGTGGCTTATAGTACTTCGTGGGAACAAAGGGCATTTTAGTAACCACACCGTCATAAGGCTTCCCACGAACCGAAATCTTCACACTAGTGCCGGCTTTGTGTAATCCAGATTTTATGTACCCCATCGCGATGTTCTTCTTCAGGCAGGGACTGAACCCCCCGCTAGTGATTTCCCCGACGTTTGCTTGCCCATCCTCATCTTGGATCTCACTGTGACTTCTTGCCGGTGGACCAGAGGATATGAAGCCCACTCTTCTGATCTTCGGGCCTTCAGCTATTTGTTTCAGGATCACATTGGCCCCGAGGAAGCCTCCACCTTCAGTCCTTCTTCTCTTCCCTATGGCCCATGTAAGTCCGGCCTCTACAGGTGTTACATGTTGGTCCATGTCATTGCCATATAAGCACAACCCTGCTTCAAGCCTAAGGCTGTCCCGAGCACCAAGTCCTGTTAACCTCACCTTCCCTTCAGATCTTTCTAGAATGGCTTTCGCCAGGTCCACTGCATGTTCAGAAGGCACTGAAATTTCAAATCCATCTTCACCTGTATACCTATCTTGTTACAACCGTGGAATTCAAATATTAGTTCACTTCTAAGTTTTAGGTGTGTAATATATAAGCAACCATTCATAACAAGACTCTTGTTTGGACGAAGAGAGTAAAGTAACTCATTAAATGAACAGTGTTTATGCATCTTTTGAAAATAGTAAGTTCTAAGTATATATCGCCACACTTTTAATGCCCCATATAAATATATTCGCATAATATTTCTTTAATACTCCCTCCGTCCCATTTAAACGTTCCCACACGGTTTACGACGTTTGACTGACCATAAAGTTAACTGATCCCTGTCATTAGTAGAATTATTTTTAGTAAATAAAATTTATATATTCAAAACTACATTAAAACCGCTACAAAGTCTGATCAAGAAAATTTAAATTTGATAAAAGTTGGATATATAAAGTAAAAGATTAAGAACAATGCACGTTGACCGGAGAATAGTGGACGGGAACCTTTCTGCGTATAAACGCTTTTGTGCATATTCTCGGAAGGTGTATATAAACCCAAACATTTTTAATGTTTAAAGATATCTCTACAACGTTTATCTTTGATAATACAATCCGCATAATTACGAGAGTATTTACATATACACCCCTACATTTTTAGGGTTTACATTCCCCACAACATTTGGTTCTTCATAATGCTCCCTCCATCCCCAATATAGGTTCTGTTATGATTTTGGTACTATTGAGAAAGTGAATGATATGTACGAATAACTCCTGCATTTTTAGTATTTATACATTCCCACAACATTCTGTATCTTGCACATTTTCAATAATAAAAAATTTCAATTCAAGATTAAAAAAATTCAATTCAAGATGTCTCAATTCTGGCATTCCATTTATGTGCCTAATATAGCAATTTAGTAGTATCTCAAGGTCTCAAGGTTTTCCCGAGTTCCTAAAGGCAACAAGCACATAGGATATATGCGACTTATATTCTTTGTTTAGTGGTTGATTAATAATTTTGGCCAAATGGAAAAACAGGGAGATGATGAGCACTGAAATGAGCATGTACCCTGTTCTTGTGAGGAAGCATGAAACACCATTGATATCCAGTACCTTGAAGTTACCAAAGTACATTTTGCTTAAGTCTTCCTTTGTCAAATTTTGGAGGACCATGGCAGCAAGTGGACCCTGACCCATGAAAGTTGAAACAAGTGTTCCTTAAACATTCACACTTCTTATGAAATAGGGGGTGATAATCAACATTGAATGTCACTATAGAGAGGCACTTGAGTATTAGAAGCTTGTAAGCATATCATGTTTGTTAGCATATGCAGATATAAAATAAGAAAAATGTGCTAGTGAATAAATTTCTCTCCCAGGAATTTGCCAATGTGGAGTCTATGGAGGGAATGGAAGTCGGGCTTGGGAGGGTAAGAGATGGGGGAAGGGGGTAGTTTCATTTTTTTATGCTTTAATGTGATAGTATTACAATTTACAAAAAATACATGAACTTATAAATAAGTATATGCTCAATCTGCTAGTCCTTTATTTATTACTACAATCCACATATTGTTTTGCATAACATATAAAAACATGTACCCCCTCCCCTAACCTTATGTACTTTATCCTATTCCATGTCATATTCCAATTGGGTCCCTCACTTTAATAGATGGTTTTTATAAGGAATACTCGAAGAATTATGATAGTAACAACTAACAACAATAAGAATAAAAAGTAACCAAAAACGAGAGGTATAACCTGGAGAGCCAAAAGAGACCGTTCGTCATGGATGTGCCAAGAAACATCACCCCCTTTAGATGCGTAAGCTTTCATGTGTTCTTCAATGTGTGCAAGATCCTTGTCCCTACACCCGGCATTCACAACAAGGTATATATGACTATCAGTGACCTTGGTGATCACCGAATCATCAATCGCCCCACCAGTCTCATTTGTGAATACTGTCAAAGTTCCAGTCCCCGGCACAAGTCCAGCCACATCAGCAATGACAAGCTTCTCCAAGAACGGGATGCAATCTTTCCCCTTTAGACTTAGACCGCACATGTGTGAAACATCAAACAGACTGCCGTTCTCCCTGCAGTTTACCGTTGACTCCATAATTGAATCTTTATACTGAATTGGCATGCTCCAACCCGCAAATGGCACCATTTTGCCACCATTCTTCACGTGGAAGTCGTACAGAACGGTTTTCTTCAGAAGATTGGTTTCAGATGCAAAGCGCCTACAAGCAATAGTACTAGTCCTCTTGTCTACCAAGCAATGGCTAGTAATTGATTGCCCAAGTTTCCACATTCCTCCTCCTCTCATCTTTACAGAAAGATATGCCGTCTGCATCATAATAATGCTCAGATGCCAATAAGTAACACAGAAATGGTTGTGTTTTAAGAATCCAACGTAGATATAATAAAGAGAAGACATATAAGTGCCGCAACGGCTAGGGCCTCACTTGAAGGGTGCCATCAACTCGTATTCGGTTCAGGTTTTCAATGTGAAATTGTGGTTTGCCAGGGATCTAAACAAAAGCAGGCTCTCTAAAAAAAACTGAGATATACCAGATATGTTTGGTTGGATTTAGTAAGGTGAACAATGACTAAATTCAAATGAGCAAAAGCTCAAATTTCGAAAATATATTGGTGGGCATAAACTAGACTTGACGAAGAATGTGTTCAAAAAATTTCATCAAAAAATTCCACCTCGAAGGGCCCCAAATGGCCTCAGCCAGACGGCGGTTCCCGTCAAACTGGCTGGACATGAACGCTATATATATATATATATATATATATATATATATATATATATATATATATATATATATATATATATATATATATGTATGTATGTATGTATGTATGTATGTATTATAGACACACGCACACAAGTATATGTGTGTGTGTCTGGAATTGTAGTCATCAAAAGAAGAGTATCAACAACTCCTCGCAAAACTTAAAGCGGGACTTGTAGACATTCAAAAGGACTTTGATCAAAATTTCAAAAATAAATCATCAATGGCAAGATTAATATTTCAAGTGACTTAGACATTAAAGCTTCTCCAACAATACCCATAAAGGATGATGGTTTCACTCTAGTCACTTCCAAAAAATCCAAAAGACGGTCCGAGATGACAGCGAGTAATATTCAAACGCGTCTTCAAACGAAGCTCGCCGACACAAACTTTCATGACACTTTCTTCATAATGTTGAGTTCCTTAATTGTAGTACTTTCATTACATTTTCTATCATGTACTTTCTTTCTTTTTAATAAAATTAGGTAAATGAGTCACGGCATTTACCCCACAATTTTGTGGTTTGCCATTTCGGATAAAAAGTGTGTGCGTTTCTATACATATGCAACAATGCAAATAAAAATACATAAACATCTAGAGAATTATACAAATGATGCATGCAATAAAAGTAGAATAAAGTCAATAAAACCTTTAAGAAAAAACTGAAAAAATAAAGAAAGGAAAATTACCTATCAAAGATTTTTCGCTGCAAGACCTGTGATGAGGAAAAAATAGCAATGATGATTTTTCTTCTTGAGATCCAGATCGGCTGAGAGAAATAAAGTGGAGAAGAGTTTATAAATTAGGTATATCCAAATCAACAAGGATTGGTCTAATGCGCTGCTTGAAGAGAGGGATGCGAGTCTGGGTGTCGTGAATGTGAGGAGGGATGGAAGGGTTGTTTGTGGTTTATGTGATTGCGAGTCTGGGGAGAAGAAAACGGTCTTTGGGTACACGGGGGCGGTGATTGGGGGAGGAAGAAAAAAAATTACAGAGGTGGAGAGATTGGATGAAATACCAAGTACTGTCTCAATTATTACTACACGATTGATGGTATATTGTATGCAGCATGTAACCAACCATTCTAACTCACCGGGTGGAAGGTTACCCTGTCCTAGCGGAGATCTCGATTTCGAATCCCGCTAGGTACATTTAGGGGAGAGGACGGAACTCTTGCTTCCAATGATTCTTCCTACCTTCACAGAATTACTCAGCGACTGAGAAAGGAGAGGATGGTAATGAAGATGGCGGGTTCGTGTGGTGAAAGGAGCAGTCTGAAAGGTGATGTAAATCTTGTTCGTCCTTTGGAGCCAGTACTGACGAGGCTGAGATCAGATCCAGATTAATTGTCTAGGAGCTTTGGGGGTAGTTCATAGACTTCAGGATTATGGGAGCGTAAGCCCCAACACCTGGATTATAAAAAAATGTATGAAGCATGTTAAGAGCACGTGAGTCCACTTTAAATGCCACGTATAAAAGCCCATTAGGTTGTGTCAAGAGTAAACATTATTAGGTTTTATTATTAGGGAAATTCTATGGTACCATCCTAAATAAACAATGTACCGGTACCCAAAATATTTAGCCAATCGCATTATCCTATTATTAGGCCACGTTAATATTTATCCTAGTTATCAGTTTTATTATTTTCATTTTAGTCCCTAGTAAAACAGTTAACAAGTGAACGGATCAGTTCGGCTCCTAAGATACAATCTCATATTCCCGACCTTATATCTTTCCACCGTACGAAAGAGATGAGAAGATGCAGCAGCAACCACATAAGAAAGAAGACGCCTTGTTCAGTTGTTCATAAACTGAAAGCCCAAATCTTAGATTATACGTAGTATTGTTTTTACTGATGTTTGATTGGTCTTTTTTCCTAAAATTTCTGGACCCAATAATTGATTAGTGATTTAGTGATATGATTCTTTTCTGTATCTGCAACGTTTTTTAGTTTCATCGGCTTGGCTTCTTGGGAATCTTACTGGAATGACATGAGTAGTTGGCAAACATATGAGTGTTTCATTTGTTAACTCTTCTTTTATTAGGGACTAAAATGCAAATAATAAAAAATGGTATACTAATATGACTAATATGACTAACGTGGCTTCATATTATAATGTGATTGGCTAAGAATGGATAGGTACCGGTACATGTTTTATTTTAGAAGGTACCGTAGAAGAACCCTTATTATTATAATCCGAATTATTATTATGTTATAACAATAAGAGCACTCACATTATATTCATGTAAAACCGTTGTTCTTCTCTTATATTTAATTCGGTAGATTTATTTTAAAAGGACTAAACATAACTTCTATACAAAAATAGGATCAACTAGTTTAAAATATTTTAAATACGATTTTTATTTTAAATTGGACCAAAACACCCCGTCGGAAAATTTTCAAGAAATCATATGGTGATATATTCTATCTTTTATTCTTTTAGTGCGATTTCATCTATTTTATTTTGTGTTTCTGGCCAAAATGGGAAAAACCAACCCAATTATGAATTTTTTCCTACTTGAAAAGCTACAACGAACGGGGCTGGGAAAGGGAGTCAGTCTAAGAAACCTTTTCCTTGGTTTTATGCAAGAGTGACCAGGTAGGGGCTTCTTAATGTGACCATAATACACAAGAACCAAAAGACACTAAAAAACTGGTTCCAAGTCTCTAAACCAAGACTTTATAAACCCAAAGGCCTCTTAAATAGTTTGAGGTGACACCTAAGATTTTTCAGTAACAAATTAAGGAATTGCTGCAAATAGGAGTAAAATAGGTCATGTGCACAAATACGCGTATAATTGGTTTGTGCTAAAATGAGACCCATTTAGCCCTAAAAAGGAATAAAATTACTTGATTGTGAGTAAATGCATCTTATTTTCAGATAGAGCAACGCTAGTTCTATTTGAACCAATGTACAGTACCTTTTTTCTGTGTATAATTCTTAGATCGAATGCTTGAAATTCATCCTCGCTAGTATCAAACATTTAAAGCTCATCTATAGCAGGATCACCTTCTTCATCTGCTTCTATATAAGCTTCTTTTGGTTCTCCAACAATTTCTTTATTAGAGCTGTAAGTTGACGCTTTTTATAATGGAGTGAATGCTTTCATATCCAGTGCTTCTTTCTGTTGGAAAAATGTGTTAAAAATTGCATTAAATGGTCATTTTGGGGCAATTATTTGAGTGAGGTCCACTTCCGATTTGGGTCGGGTCAAAGTGGTTTCGGATTTTCCTTGTTAGGGCTACAATTCGATATATGGTACACTCAAAACGGATAACGGGTGAATAAGAAATTGATTCTCGAAGTTCACTCATTGAAATGGAAAAACTTGGAAAATGATGAGTTTCTAGTTTGTTTTATACCACACCGGAAAACTCAAAGGATTTTCACACCCTTATAAAGGGAAGCCTCTTTTTAGAAGTTACGATTCCTAAAGGTAAAGGCTCTCTCTCGTGCGGGGGGGGGGGGGGGGGGGGGGGTCAAGTCTCGAAAAAGAAGAAGAAAACCCGCGACCTGCGGACATGAATGCCGTCCGAAAAATCTATCATTCAAAGATACGATTTAACTCTTGTTTCTTCTCGTAACGTTCCTTAATTTTTTTCCAGGCCGGCAGAAATGCTCCGGACAGAAGGCTTCATACCAGAACACCTCGTAAGGTATTCTGGTGGCTTACAGAACAGAACACCTCGTGGGGGAGTTCTGTTGGCCTCCGGACAGAAGACCTCAGGGCTTTTCTGTTGGCCTCCGGACAGAAGACCTTTGGGCTCTTCTGGTGCCTTCCGAACAAAAGACCTTATAGGTATTCTGTTGGCTTCCGGAACAGAATACCTAAGCCGTTACGAAAGTTAATGTTCAACGTTCTTGTCTTTTAATGATGCGTTAAATGGACAGTTTATGGACGATCCAATGCCCAACGGACTGGTCATTGATGTCCAACGTTCAGGTTCATTAACACTACATTTAACACACAACAAATCCTCCTATAAATAGCTGACAGGTGCTTTGCAACAACACACGGTTTTTGCACGTTCACAACCAACCATAAACACGTTTTAGCTCTGAAAAACATCTGCAGCTCTCCGAAAAATTCCTAAGTGTTCTTCCTTGGTTCCCGTTCGCCAGAACTCTCGTTTGTGTGCTCAAACGTTAGTTCGTTAGCCACCGTATCCTGAGAAACGGTCGTTGCAACGCTCCTAGTACCGTGGGAGGCGACGAATACGTTTTAAGGACATCGTGCGTAGCACGAGCTCTGACTTAACTCTGTCCCATCTCTTTTTTTGTTTTTCTTTGGCTATTTAATTAATTAATTATTTTTATTAATTAATATTTCTTCGTTTTTCCGAGACACACCCGACACTTTCTTCTCCAGATTTTTCTTGGATCAAGTCCTTGTCATTAGTGAACTTCATATCCACACCACCATAATCGCTAAGGTACTCTGGATAGACAGCTCCTGTGCAACCACAACAAGCACAAAGGGGGAGGAACGTCTATAATCTGCACAAAGTTCTTCACTCTTTCGAGCATTTTCTTCATCTTCCACACATTTATAAAAAAGTCACTATCATTTGGAATTTAGCTTTAGTGTCCTCATTATGATGACTCCCGATCCTAAGGTCATGACATATCTATCCTCGCTAGGGACAGAAGCAAAATCAGAGCCTCCAAAATCAGGCGGCAAGGAGTAATCTTCATCCTTCTCCTTGTACCAGAAACTGCCATTTTGCATATCAAAATCACAATAGTCTCGTCCTGTCCCAAACTGTGACAATCTATTAGATGATGCTTGAGAGCTTGGATATGTGTCACAGCGTATTCCGTATGGATTTTTAAACTCTACAAGTAATAAGGAAAATTTCTTTTGTAGACGTCAAGTTTTACACGCCGGGTTACACGCCTGTCAAAGTGTCTGCGTACAGACAATTTGATCAACTAGACAGACATATTGAGCGGCGATTTACGAAGAAAACCGATTGTCACACAGACAAAAATAAAAAAATGTCTGTATCACAGAAGACACTTTATAAAAAAATCAGGTTTAAAATGTCTGTGATACAGACAACTCTTTATATTTTGTCTGTATGGAAATCGATTTTCTTCATAAAACGCCGGTCAAATTGTCTGTCTAGCCGATCAAATTGTCTGTATAAAGACAATCTATGTAGCACCGATACCGGTACGCGGGATCGCGGAAACGCGGACACGGGTACGGCGATACGGCAAAACAAAAAAAAAGTAGGATACGGATACGGGGCCATATTTATAAATATTAAAAGTTATGGGGGTGTATTTACAAATATTAAAAGTTACAGGGGTGTATTTATGAATATTAAAAATAGATTTTTTTTGGAAATATATACATATAATATCCTATGAAATATACAAAAAAAATAATTTTTTTTGGATATATATATATATATATCCTATATTCCTATATACACATATATACTCATTCATTACATATACATCGTAATATTTCTCATATACACTAGTGCATCTCAAAATACTTAAGATAGAAAACAATATTTTAAAAGTTCTAACTTCTAATACATATTTTCACTGGAAATATTAATTTCCAGGAATAATATCATCTTCCAAAAAAACGGCCTCCAATTCTGGTTCATCTATGGAGAGGTTGGCAAACTCAAGTACTCCTATATCCTCCATGCTCCCAAAATCATCTCCACCAACATCCCACATTTTACTTTTGTCATTCGTATACTGCTTAGAAGCTCGTGATAAAAGACGAAGATTGTTATGAACAAATACCAACTTACCACATTTACATAAATTCAGAAATGTTCAAGCTCTCAGGCTTATTTTTTTCTCATGCTAGGATGCCTAAAAATCCTAAAAATCCAATTCACTGAACCATTAATCTACTATCCATAAGCCATAACTGTTCACTGATACGAATTCTTCATGTATATGCTTGTATGAAAGAACTCAACTATTGTATTAAAGGTTGATTTCAAAGAAATAAATTAGAAGAGGATGACGGAGGATTACCTAGTTTTAGACAGAGGACGACGGCAAAGGACGGCGTAGCTGATATGTAGACGGAGGATGACGGCGTAGCTGATAGTAGGCGACGGATAGACGGCTCCCTTCAGCTTTTCAGCATTGTCCGCACTCCGCAAGTCCGCAGCGGCTTGCTCTGTTTAGTTGCTTGCGAAGAGGATGAGGCAGGATTACCTAATTTTACATTTTTACTAGCATATTGGACTTGGGCAATTGGGCCAAATCATGTATCTAAATAGAGAACATGGGCTTGTCAAAATTTTATATAATAAAATTAATAAAATGTAGTTTTAGATTTTCATTTTTTTAGAATTTTATTAAGTAAATTTTGGTTTTTTTTTTCAAAAAAGTTGATACGGGTATCCGTCAGGATACGAGTATCGGAAACTTTCAAAAAATTACAAAAAAAAATGGAAACTTTTAAAAATTACAGATACGGCCCGGGAACGTACGGTACTGGTATCCTAGAGTATCGGATACGGGAACGTATCCGATACGCTGATACGCTACCCCAGGGAAGTATCCGTGCTTCATAGAAGACAATTTGACCTGCGTGTCACCCAATGTGTACATGAAGCGGGACCCAGCAACAACTTTTCTACTATAACAATATGGCATGTATAATGTTAAGATATCCATCTTAAAAGTGCTAACTCACTCATCGGTAAGGCTTCAAACTAACAAATAAAACTTCAGAATCCTCCTAACTCCCAAGTCCTATCAAGTATAAGACTTTAGACTTCAGATATCCCGCGAGTTTGGTGTTTTTTAAAACTAAGCAGATTTAATTGGGTGTTTTACAAGTACGAGGGCTTAAATGACGGATTGAAGATAGTATGAGGGCTTAATCGAAGAATACTGTTTTAACTATAAACGATTTGGGGAGCCTACAGGCTCATGATTGCCCTGTGTGGCTTTTGGCTTTAAAGGAATTTTGTTTCCACTGCAAATTTTGAAATGCTTTATTTATGAGTGTTTATGGATGTACGAGGGCTTAAAATATTAATAGATTTAATGCTTTACCCACATACGCAAATTATATGGTACATCTGGGTGTACACGTACACCCGGTCATTTTGTAATTTCCTCCAACTTTAAACCTTCTTCTTCCATTCTATTATTGCACGCCGATCTCTTCACCATAGACATCACCGCTCGACCTTCACCATGCTTCATCGATTCGAGCTTCACCGTCACCATCATCGCGACACGAAGAGTTTTTCCATTGATGCAGTCTGATTAGGAGCATATTCTATCTTGCTGCAACCTAATTTGTTGGAGTCTCACCTGAGTTGCGCAATTGTCGACGCTCCAATCCGTCAAAATTTAGGCGTTTATGGTCCGTCATCTTTCTTCCATCTCCGGTGCTGCAGAGATTCTAGATGACAACGTTGATGCTGTGTATAGATTAGATTTTGGTGATATTGACTTGACAGATTAATCCAACATTTGCATCATCGCTCTCACATACCAAATGAGCATAACGCTTGAACGAAATGAGCATATACAAATGAGAATTTGAACACATTAGCAATTTCAAATGACCTTTCGAATTTTTCGATACTCATTTTATAATTATGTATGCTCATTTGGTTATGACATTATCCTCATTTTAAAATGCCATATAAATTTATAATTCAAAAGTATATGATGCTCAATATTATGCTCCTAATACTCAACAAAATAAATGTAATGCTCAGTAAAAGTTCATGAATGCTGATTTGACAAAAACCGTGATGTTGTGGTCATTTGTATATTTTGAAAGTATCATATCAGATAAAATTCGCATATTACGATTCATAGAGATTGTTTATACGTATAATTCAATAAGTTTTATAAAAGAAAAAGAAAATTAAAAAATATGAATCGAAGATGGTGATGTTCATCGTTATGCTCCTAATACTCATTACAATACGTTTGATGCTCACTAACAATACACTTATGCTCATTTAACAAAAATCACGATTTTTCTCTTAAATTACCAAAATGATACCGCCTAAAAAATGAACCTTTTGATAATGGGCTATATTAGCAGATGGGCCAATTATTTGTTTAATTGGACGGGATGTACGATTCCCACCCGTACACCCGGGCATATTATATAAGAACCGATCCACATACATACTTGTCGTTACATTCTCTCGTAATAAATGCACATGATGTATACTTGGTAAAAGTCTAATCTTTAACCATATTTGAATTTGATTTTTGCAATTCATTACTCATGGCAGATAAATTTCTAAACACTTACTCGAAAAATATAGAATAGTACGGAGTACTACGTATTATAAAAGTTTCTAATTAAGGTAGGCAGACTAATCCCATTGCTTTCACAGAAGACTCGCCGCTGCAAAATCAGCTGTCTTCCTCTCCTCAACCATTTCCTCAATGTATTGTACACCAAACCCAGCAATGAATTCTTTGCCCTTGCCTAAAGTTGGCGGCCTCATTTCCTTCCCATCATCTCATTTTGCCACTCCAAAATCCCGATATTTCTCACTTGCTTGTGTACCTGATAACCTTTCTTTCTCACTTTCTTCCTCCTCTCTCCCCTTCCTTCTATCTCCTTGGATGGAGAAACGCAAACCCCATTTTCGATCTCTGGTGTATGCCATAACCCCCCAACAAGAGGATGACACTATCCTTGACCAAGATGAAGACGAAGGCAAAGCTTTCAGTTTTGAAGGAGACAAAGAAGGGCTTTTGGAGGTTGTTGCTGAGGTAATATTTTTGTTAAAAATTTGATTTTACCCATATTTTAAATTTATGCTCCACTTTTTTTATTGATGCTCAACTAAGAAAGTAAAAAAATAACCTACTTTATGACCAAATAGATTCACTAACTTAAGATGTGTTAATATTAGTTATGTGCATGAATTTTGTTTGACCTTGTTTTGGTTAAGTTGAATTGCAATTTAAAAAAAAAGCTATCTATAACATACGCGGAGTATAACATTCATCCCTACTACCTCTGATTTTGGGGTGCGGAAAATGGAGTGAATGGGGTATGTAGGAATTAATAATTCAGTTAACTTAAGTTGACATTTACAGAGTAAGGGTGTTGATGGTGTTCTAAATTTAACCTAAATTGAAGGAAGGGTCTGCAATGCATTCTGAATATCATGTATCCCAAGGGGAGGCTCTGAGAGTCGAGAAATGGGAAGTGGATAGGTTTCAGGATGAGGTTGCTGCTAGCCAGGGTATAAGGATTCGGAGAAGGCCATCTACTGGACCACCTTTGCATCATGTTGGCCCTTCCGAGTTTAGGCCAGAGAATGAAGGGAACACTTCTCGGAACATACTACAAGAGATTGTATGGCAAAAGGATAAGGAAGTTTACGAGGTACTCTTAAGCTTGAATTCCTGTATTGTGTTTGTTTGATTGTGAGATGCTTATGAGAACTGGGGCATGTTGTTTTGTTTGATTGTCTCCTTTTGTCAGTTGAAGGAAAGAAAGCCTCTTGGTCTATTGAAAAGAGTACTTGACAAAGCTCTACCGACTAGAGATTTTGTTGGTGCTCTTAAAGAATCATATTCTAGAACTGGAGTGCCTGGTTTGATTGCTGAAGTAAAGAAGGCTTCCCCAAGCAGAGGGGTATTAAGAGAAGATTTTGATCCTGTAAGATTTTAGTGTCTTAATTTTTGCTTTGGTATTTTTTGTATTTTAGAAAATGATAGCTGACGTGTAATATATGCATAGCTCACCATCCTCGCATTACATTGCAACTTAGGTGTATTGTGTAACTTTGATAAAAAAAAATCCAAAAACTGGCAATCACGTGAACAAGGCCTTTGTTTTAGTCTGCATTGTTTTCTTAAAATCTTATATATAAATAACAAAGGAGAACATGAGGGAGTGATACTTTCCTGTGCATTGTTTGATCAAGTAAAAATTGTTTGTGCATAAGTAAAGTGTAAACATATAATGAAACAACAATTTATTATTCTGTCAAATTCTTTAGTCCAAGAGCAATTAAATTGGACAGGAAGTTCAGCCTTGGACTTTACCTTTGATAGACCGCAGTTATCTATCCCACCAACTTGAATTATTAAGATAATTTCAAGACATCATAATCTTAAACATAACTGTTTTATGATGTTTTCTGTGGCAGGTTGAAATTGCCAAAGCTTATGAGAAAGGTGGAGCAACATGCCTGAGTGTCTTAACTGATGAGAAGTTTTTTATGGTAGATATTGATATATTCTCATGTTCCGTAGTATACAACTCAAATATTAGCAACCCACTTAATTCTCTAATTTTATTTTGCAAAATCAGGGAAGCTTTGAAAACCTTGAGGCCATAAGAAATTCGGGAGTAATGGTATTCCCCAACTTTAGTGTCCATGTAACATGTTTAAAAAAAATCCAACTGCTTCGCTATCTTTTGAATCCCTTATTAACAATACTCAATAATGCAGTGTCCATTACTATGCAAAGAGTTTATTATTGACGCATGGCAAATTTACTATGCTCGAACCAAAGGGGCTGATGCAGTTCTTCTAATTGCTGCCATATTACCCGATCTTGATATAAAGTATATGGTTAAGATCTGCAAATTGCTTGGGCTGGCTGCACTTGTTGAGGTTTGGTTTTGACATAACTTCAACACTTTTATCAGCATATAAGTAATCTTAATCATTTATGACTGCAGTTTAATACCTCTTATTTTGTACCCCCTCCGTCCCAAATTGATAGTCCTATACTTTTTGGGCTCAAATCCTATACACCTAAAAGCAAAATCCCAAGTTCCCGGCTCTCTCTTATATGTTATTTAAGCTCTTCAATCTTTATTCAGTTGCCCGCTTAATTTCTCAGAAATGTTGCTCACCTGAAGCAATAAAACAATTCATCCATTTCTAGCTTAAAATCTGTAGATTTCTCGCTGCCTGTAATTTAATTGATTCTCGCTTAGATCCAGGAAGCGACCTTGATGTCGCCTTACCCCACTGCCCTTGCATCTTGCTTATATCCAGGAAATCCAGAAATTGAATGCTCAAAGGTCATGCAGTCCAAACCTGTTCGTTGATTTGATTCTCCCATTGAATCTGTCCAGCCTCACGCCAGGAGTTTCATATCGGAGACATCTTTCTTTCCCTTCAATTCTCTTTTCTCCGTATGGTAAAGCTCCATCCCTTATAGACTTCGTTCCCATCGATTCTCTTCTCTCCATCATCTCCCGGTTATTTCCATCCCTTAGCTTTCTTCCCCATCGATTCTCTTCTCTTGGTTAAGGTCAGTCTTCATCCTCGCTAGCCCGTTTTCCAATTTATGGTTTCCTCCACCAATTTCCGAATATTGCATTTTCTTGATTTCTCTATAGTCTATAGCATCAAACACCACAATCACCACTGCCTTTGTCCCCTTCTCTTCTCTGCAATCCACCGCCTACCTCAAGATCAGAATTATTTCCATTAATTTATATATTTATTTTGGAAAATTGGATTCCATTTTTGTTTTGTAGTTAATCCAGATTTCACCCACTCACATCAACCAAGTATATACCTTTTAAATCTTATGCATGACAAAACTTGATTTCTTGGGAAAAACCAATCAAAACCTAATTGATTTAAATCTGCCTGGAATGGGGACTATTGTCTCTTCTTTGTGTAGTAAAAAGCTCATTTATGTGAAAATTCACATTAAAGTGGACTGTGCTTGCTGCATCACAGTTTATTGATATGGAATCGATGCTCTAATTTAATACGGAGTATTTCGATCTGTAAAAATTCATGCTCTTCAAGCATGACAATAGGATTGATGAAGAAGACACACTCAAGTGGTCTTTCTTCATATCAATTATATTGATCAGTTAAGTCAAGTAGATTTGTACTTCAATTTTTATAAGTAAACTCTAATCTAATAATGCAGCGGATACATCAGTAAGTTATGGTCTGATACAAAAATTTGAATCTCGATTGCCAGTGGATACAAAAGTTAGTTATATCATTTAAAAAACCCATGCTCTGAAGTATTAGTGAGAATGACATATTTCACTTTAACTCTTTAAGTATTGTGTCTGGTGACTCTTTTGCATTACATTTTGAGCATTTTACTTCTTATATTGGAAATTAATTGGAAAAAAGTCAGAGTATTGCTGAAGACTTACTGAGATTAAATATATCTTTGATAATTTTCTAAGGTTGATATGGCATAGAAGTGTAGTATCTATAATTATGCCAGCCTTTATTCCTATTCCAGTTATGTTCAAAGTAAGCAAATGAGAGTTTAATGCCATTCTTAATAGAAACAATGACATTTTAAGTAGATTGGTACAATAAAACTTATTTTATCTATAAAATAATTCCAAGAAAAAGGATATATGTGATAGTGTGCGCTTTAATTATGTTTTTGAACAGCATTTTACATTTGACATGCTGAACTTTGAAGCATTAGAAAAGATTGGATAACTCAAATACAAAAAAATGTGGGGGTAGGTTGCACGTATTTACTTCTGATACTTCTGTTGATGACTATGCTGGGAAAAGATTATGTACTTTTTACTTATACAGTAAACTATTTGGCTATGAGATAATGAACTCAAAAATAGTTGAAGGTTTTTTAATTTTACAAGATGATGTATTTTTGGCTAGCATCTCAAAAATGTATTTCATAAGGAACCATTTTATGAGATAATGGAACAAAATAGTTGAAGGTTTAGCTAGAAGACCAAATTCAGATTTACTTATTAAAATCTCACTATCCTAGCAATATCCTAAGTTATCTTTCTTTTTCATAACAATGAAAGCTTTAATCTTTTGAGCATGTAACTATGTTGAGTATCTTGGCTGATTGTTGGTGGTAGATATCTTATTCTTTTTCTAAAGAATATACCTAAGAGAATTTACATTTTTTATACTTTCTGGCATTCACGCACTAACTTAGATAGATGTTAATAATAAGAGAAATATATGTGTATTTGATCTTTAAATTTGTGTATACATGCATATATTATGATAGGATTGATAATGTGCATAGTTGTATGGTGCGGGTTCGAGGGTGATAAATCTGTTTGATTTAAAGTTTGTGATATTCGACGAAGAAAAATGAAAAACTACAAAGAAAATGTTGTACACAAAGTCTTCAACAATTTGTAAATTTGTGCTTAATTAAATTCTAATTTTTATCATTATTTATTTACGAATTTCCTCATTCATGCAATAAGTTATGATAAGATTTGTAAATACTTTAAAATAAATGCATATTACATCCCGTGCAACGCACGGGTGAAATACTAGTATTAAGAAAAAGTGGTAGAAGGACCCATATAACCTTACTTTATTTTACTGTTCACTACCTTACTTTTACTGTTTATTAAAAAGGAGGGGTATAAATGGTATCTACTTTAATTTCTTTACCAAAAAGGGAAAGGTGACTCTCATTTTGGGACACCCCAAATAGGAAATACAGGACCATCATTTTGGGACGGAGGTAGTACTTTTTTTTAACGGAGTAAAGAGCGTTACCATCTCACCGTCAAACAGCCTTAACAATTATTTTTCTACTGTACCAACTCTATTGAGTAGTAGGGGTTAAAGGAAATTAGCTTCTCATTGTGTCAAGAGCAGCTAGGTAATATTTCTTTGATTTTCCATGCCCCTAGGTACATGATGAGAGGGAGATGGACCGTGTGCTTGGAATAGATGGGATTAAACTGATTGGCATCAATAACAGAGATCTAGGTATTTTCTTTTATTTTACAAATATGCACATTTTAAACATTTTGCAGGGTTGTTATGTTGTTTAAAAATCTTTAATCTTATTTTCATATTGTAAAATTCAGTGTTCTAAAAAGTGATATGCGCCAGTGAGGCAGGGACTGGCCGCCTAGCGGCTAGCCCGCCTAGGCGCGGACTATGGCGCCTGAGTATTCCCTTTATCATTATTTTTCATTTCCAATGAATTTCAACAATCTTTACTAATAATTTTGTAATATTTTACTATAGAAATAGCTCATATAATCATTAAGTGTTATAGTTTTGTAGAGATTTCTGCTTTTTAGTCTCTAAAAATGTTAATCATTCTAAAAAAATTATATACATTCAAAAATTATTTTTTATTATAGGAATGCGATAGTTAATTCTACAGAAGTAGAATTAACAGGGCCCTGGGCTGTAGAGAATAATAATAGTAGTAATAGATTAATATTAAATAATTGTGATAGTATATTAGAGGTCCTGGGCCAGGTACTAGTTAACTTTGGGCTGGCCCATAAGTAATAGTATAAATAGAAGGGAGGGAGAAAGAAGAAGGCAGGCAGAACTTGGATCTGGGACTTGGGAGTGTTGAGACTACTCGAAGTGTTTCTATCGTTCTTTTCTTCTTTCCGTTCTTTTTCTGTGTACGACAATTACAATCATCCGCCATTGTAATAGCTTCTGTTCACTTTTGTTCTGAATTAAACAGTAAATTGTCTGGTTCCTATCATTGGTATCAGAGCACTCACTTCCAGGAGGAAAAGGATCTGAATCGATCGAGAATATTAACTACCTGGAAGCATGGAAGAATTCTGTACACCAGAAATGGAGAAGAGGATGGATTCGCTGGAGAGGAAGCAGACATCTATGAAGAAGAACTTAACAGATATGAAAACTATGGCGGAAAACCTGGCCAGACAGCTAGCTGCTAGGGAAGAACATTTACAGGCGAGAAGGAGACCGCGAGTGGTTACTACAGGGTCGAAGGTGTCTTCACCAGTCACTCCTAATCGTTCCAGTTATCCGTCGCAACTTGTTCCTCATAGATCGTCATCGCAAGTCGGCTACCTCGTCAGTTCTCAGAAATCTTCACAGTCGCGGACTTCCTCTCTCAGTTCGCAACCGCGAACTTCATCATCAGCCAGCGGTTCACGACCAAGTCCGACGCGATCGAGAGGAGAAGCTTTCTGTTCGCAGTTGTCATCGCAAACGGATTCAGTTCCATCGCGAACAGTAGTTTCCAGTTCTCAGATGTCGTCTCAGTCGCTGACATCGTCTCATCTGTCCCAGAGTTCAACGCTATCATATATTTCCAGAGTCGCAGGGATCATCGCTAAGCGCACAAAATTCTTCGCACAATCCGCATCACACTTTGCATTGCAGACATGTGAGAGATTCCGTTACTCCAGAAGGTTCAGAAGGTAATTATGATTACTTACCTTCGCATCAGGAACGCAATCACTACAAGGGCCATCCAAGTTATAATAGAACAAGGAGGGAGATGGAATTACCCTTTTTCAATGGTGGTGACGCTTATGGAAGGATGAAATTACCCTTTTTCAATGGTGGTGACGCTTATGGATGGATGGATATGATGGAATGATATTTCACTCTCAATACTACTATAGAAAAAGATAAGGTTGAAGTCGCAGCAGAAGCTACGGAGGATAGGGCGTTTGATTGGTTTCAATGGTGGGAGACTCGAACGAGAGAGAAGAGTTGGGAGGTTCTGAAGGCAACCATAACGCGGCGTTTCCAACCTACACACAGTCGGAAGATAGAGAACAAGGAATCGTCGACAAGAACTTCTCTCAGTTTGCAGAAGTCGTCGACAACAACATCTCCCAATTCGCAGGCTTCAGTATCGACTTCCAGTTCTAAGGCTTCGTCACGAACTGTTTATCCTCAACCATCTTCAACGCAAATAAATTCTCCCAGTTCGCAAATGAGAACCATTTGTACCAGTTTACAAATGACATATCAAGTCACGTCTCACAATGCGCTAGCTTCATCAGCTTCATCGTTCTTACCCGAAGCATCCGTTTCCAGAGCTGTAGACTTAGTCGAATCAAGGAATGGATTGCTGGAAAATCCACCACCGACAAGGAACACTGACTGGAAGCCGGCTGTAAAGTCAATCATGGAACCCGATTCGGAAAATGATACAACTCAACCGTCCCCACTTGCAATGGTTTCGCAGAATCTGGGGCAAGCTGATCCTAGTATTCCTAATGATAAAAGTTACAATCAACGTGGCACTGAAGGTACTCGAAATTCTACCACTAGGGGTGTGGAGGTTCTGATGCTGCCTATTAGGACTATGGTTGCTGCAGCTCATTGTTCATTGGGACATTCAGTTTCTGAAGCTTCTCGAAGTGCTATGGAATCCTTCAACTCGGTTTTGGGTAAAGTTTATCATGCTACTTCTGAAAATGTTACTGTCAATCCTAGGTCAATGAGTGAAGTGTTAAAGGGAGTTGAAGTTTTTTCTAGTTCAGTACTCCCTGATGAGGAGGTACAGGTATAGGAGAATGCTGGTGTTCAGGGCATGAACACAAATTCTGCTATGGCTGAGAATGGATTGACTCACAACATTGTTTCTCAAGAGACTAAAGCAACTATACCATTCAGAAAGCTTCTGGTGGTTGAGCATAGCCTTCTAATTAATGAGCCTATAGGGGAAAGGAAAGAAGAAAAATTCTCAGATTTGGGACTTTGGCGGTTAGAGAATCTGAAATCGCATGACAGCACTGTTGTGCACAACTGTTGTCAGCCGTTGAAGTTTTATGAAACAAATTCTGCTATTACAAGTAATTTTGTCATTGATACTAGCTGCCGTACAGAAAAGTGGATGAAAATTGGAGAAGTTTGCATGAGGCTGTTTAAAGACCTGGAGTTGAGCTACATCAACCTTGCATCCGGCACACCGATAGTTTCAGAAGAGAGAACCTCAGAGGAGCCTCAAGAAAGCAAGGAAAAGTTTGTGGCTATTGAAGGCTTGAAGGTTAATGAAGAGAATGAAACTTCACCAGATAGATCCTATGCTGTAGAAACATATGTCAATTGGAAAGATCAAGTGTTGAAGATCCCCGCTCAGAAATCAGTGAGATACTGGGAAGGTAGAGGCACAACGATGAAGATGAAGTGGAAGATCAAGGCTGTCTCCTATCACCCACCTTGAGGACAAGGTGGTTGTCGAAGGGGGGAGATATGATAGGGCCCTGGGCTGTAGAGAATAATAATAGTAGTAATAGATTAATATTAAATAATTGTTATAGTATATTAGAGGTCCTGGGCCAGGTACTAGTTAACTTTGGGCTGGCCCATAAGTAAGAGTATAAATAGAAGGGAGGGAGAAAGAAGGCAGGCAGAACTTGGATCTGGGACTTGGGAGTGTTGAGACTACTCGAAGTGTCTCTATCGTTCTTTTCTTCTTTCCGTTCTTTTTCTGTGTACGACAATTACAATCATCCGCCATTGTAATAGCTTCTGTTCTCTTTTCTTCTGAATTAATATACAGTAAATTGTCTGGTTCCTATCAATAATACTTATTGATCAAATGTTGTTTTAAAACAACGGAAAAAATAAATTGAGTCAGGATTAAATTTATTCCGGGGAGCCTTGGCACCGCCTAGGCAGCCGACTAACTTTTTCCACCGATTACCACGAAATCGGGGCACCCACCACCGCCTAGCGACTAACCGGTGCCTAGGCCGATTTTTAGAACCATGGTAAAAATTACTCCGTAATATTTATTGGTACCTAATACTTCTCCACATCAACAATTAACTCTGAAGCAGCAAGTGATGTTTAAGCATACAAGAGATCTTCCTTCTCGTGCACACCTCAAATTTTTCCTCAAATTTTAATTTAAGGGCCAACATTTAGCTTCTTGGAGTCGAGAAGCTTTGAATAAGCTTATTTTCCAAATATGCACGAACTCCGATATAATCTTGACTAGCTCAATCCCTAGCAGTGATAATATTTGGGAGGGGTTCAATTTGAAATGCATGTATCTCTAGTATGTTAACACAAATACTGTGTTCTTATTCTTTTTTGTTCAAAATGCCTTTGTCAAGTAGTTGCACTTTTGTGTATCGGCAGAAACTTTCAAAGTTGATATTAGCAACACAAAGAAACTCCTGCAAGGGGAACGTGGGGAAATTATCCGCGAAAAGGGCATAATTGTAAGTACCTTTAGTTGGGGTTGCATCTTTTTCAATCATTTTCCTGTATATTCATATCTCTCTGCGTTTGTTTGTTTAGGTTGTCGGGGAGTCTGGACTGTTTACACCGGCTGATATTGCCTATGTACAAGAAGCTGGCGTTAGAGCAGTAAGCTACAAAATTATTTTGTCCAGTAAATTGTATGTTATTTTTGAAGTTTAATGATAATAGGAAGGGAAAAGGTACAAATATACCCTTGTAGTATGGGTGTGAGAACAAATATACCCTTGTAACCTTCTTCTATTTTTTGGAACAAATATACCCCTGAAGTATACGTTGAAGTGCATATATACTCCTGAACTTTTAAAAAGTGCAAAAATACCCATCATGTTCTTATAAAGGAGCAAATTTTCCCTTATTGACTATAAATAGATAAAATAAATTTCCAAAAACACCAAAAATAAATTATGAATTCAAAATTTAAAAATAAAGATTTATTATTTTAAAATATTTAGTCTTTAATTTTAAATTGCAAAATTATAATTTTTCTGTTGTAAATGAAGCACTTCAAGATCATTAATTTTAATTTTAGCCTTGTTGCGAAATTTTGAACACATTGTTACATTTATTGAAATAACATTCTTTGATTTTGTTTAACCTTAATAAAATTAAATTCATTATTTTGTAATCTTTGACTATTTATCAACATACAAAATATGTACTTTTATAGTGCAAAGAATGCAAAATATTAATATATTTTACATTGTAACACACATGTTAATACTTTTTCGAAACAATTTTAAATATATAGTAGAGTTTTGAAATAATATTTTATACTAACAATATTAAATTGTGATATACAAATAATAAAAGGGAGAATTGGACACAAGTACATTTTTAAAATTTTTTATTTTTTAAATTTGATTTTATAATTTGTTTTTGGTGTTTTTGAAATTTATTTTATCAATTTAAAGTCAATAAAGGTAAAGTTGCTCTTTTATAAGAATATAAGGGGTATTTTTGCACCTTTTAAAGTTCAGGGGTATACATGCAATTCCACATATACCTTAGGGGTATATTTGTTACGAAAAGTAGAACAAGGGTATATTTGTTCTCACACCCATACTACAGGGGTATATTTGTACATTTTCCCATGTTTGCACTCTTATCTCCCCCAAATGGGGAGTAATGAGTGACATGTTGTGAGTTGTCTTCCTTCAGGGTGGGTGTTATAATGGTTCCCGTTTGCCATATTTTATACGCAGCACCATATATTTAACGCAGTAGGTTGCATTCTTTGAGTCAACTAATTTAGAAAAATCCATGCACACCCCTTTTCATTTGGCAGAATTAAGATAAATGAGACATTTATTCCCATCTTTTTTTTAAATACTCTGTTCGATTTACTTTAGTTTATTAGAAAATACATTATTCATACTTTCCTAGCGGACTCATTTCAGTCACCTGTTAGCCCTTCTCATCATATAAATACTCCTAAAGCTTTACTTTAATTTATTAAGAAAAGTATTTAATACGAAGTATACTTCTTAGCAGACTCATTTCAGTCACCCTGCCATTCAGCCATTTAAGAATTCGTTTATGATGTGGTTTTTAGTAGTCTTTTAAGCCATTCCATTAGGCGGGGGATGGCGGAGGGGTATTTATCAGGCATAGGCTGGACTTTTACAACAATGCATACCACACTATCGATAATTTCACATTTGGTGATTTTGCAGGTCTTGGTGGGGGAGTCGATTGTGAAACAGCGAGACCCTGCGCAAGGAATTGTAGAGTTATTTGGAAGAGAGATTTCCTATTGAGGTTTGAATGAACCCTGCACTGGACCAATGTTGTGATGTCCAGTGGTTCTTATACGAATTGGTGGCTCTAACTAGCGGCTTAACATCTTTAAAAGCTCCCCTAATACCGGTTAGTTAGTTATATCTCGGTGAGTTGCCGATAGAAAGAATTTGCTATGTGTCTGGTGTTGGACAAGATATTTTTATCAAATAAAATACACGAACTATATTTTGATATATTTCTTTAGTACATTTTGATTATTATGAGGCTGCATGGGGAATTTCATGATTGCAGGTTCAGTTTGTACTGGGGGTGGACATACAAATTCATAATCTATTAACCATGGTAAATAACTGAAAACCCATTATTTTTTTGTCAATCATACTGTGTTTTTAAAAGCTTACACTATGGTTAACCAACCAAAATAAAAATGATTTACGGCATGGTTACGGTTTTAAAATTAAATATCCCCGGTTAACCAAAGTTCATGAACACACACCGTATTAGCCACAAATTCATGAACACTCAAATAAAGGAGAAGATTAAAAAGAGAAGAATGAATGTGTCTTCCCAACTATAGAGTAGTTCTTAGCTTCATTATTTATTTATTTTTTACGTTCACTCACTGAGAATGAAAGATGCTTTAAGTAATACCAAAAACATTGCTAAACAATAAAATGATCAACTTGAGTAGAGAGTATCAAGTGGTAGTAATTTTTACACCATTCTAATCATGCTAGCTTCTTCTCATGGCTTCATTCCAAACTATAAGACTAATTTGGAATTGAGCAATGAGAAGAAGAAGCTAACATGATGAGCTTATATCTAGGGGTGGATTCGGGCCGGGTCGGGCCCGGGCCGGGCCTAGGCCCGGTCGGGCTGCCGGTTCTAGAATAGTGGGCCCGGGACCGGCCCGAGGGTTGGACGGGTCCGGTTCGGGCCGGGCTACCCGCCCGGGTCACGGGTCGGGCCACCCGCCGGGTCGGGCCGGGTCGGGCCGGGTAATTTTTTTTTTAAATTTATATTTTATACTTTATAGTTTTATACAAGTATTAAAAAACAAACTTCAATTGCATTTATTTGAAATGAAATAGGAACTACATTTGAAAATTAAATAGGAACTATAATTGTTTTTAATCGGAATCTCCGACATAAGTAGAGCCACCCTCTGTAGATTCATCCATAAAGTGTTGTGATGGAGTGATGTCAATTTCTTGAGCTCTACGTGCTGCTTTCAACCAATCATGGTAGCATATAAGCATCTCAAGAGATTCAGCGCTCAACCTCGTTCTGGTTTGTGTTAGAACATTGCCGGCCGAACTAAATTCTTGTTCCACGGCAACCGTTGAAACCGGCATTGATAGCACTTGCTTAGTCATCTTTGCTAAAACCGGGAACATTCTTTCTTTTCCCTTCCACCAGTTTAGTACGTCAAAATCATCATCTTCTTCAAAATCAACATCATAAGTTAAATACAAAGAAATCTCATTAATTGTGCTTTGTTGTGTAGCGGGAGTTGATTTTGTTTTTTTAATAAGATTGGCAAACGTAGATTTGAAAATTGATTTTCCTTTAGATGATGTTTGTGTCGGGGGAGGGGGCGCATTGCCATATTGTGCATGAAACTCATTGAATAATGCATAAAATATATCACTAACCTCGTTGTATTCTTTTTTCGGATCAATTGGGTTGTCCTCATACATTGGCAATGGACCAAAAAAAGCAGCATAATAATAATTCAAACATTCTTCTAAAGAACCAAGTCTAAAACGAGGATCGAGAACAAATGCAATACCATAAATATGCGGAATATGTGAATAATATTTTAAAAACTTTTCCTTCATAAAACCAGCAAAATAATTCACATAATCAGCATTCTCAAAATTTGAAAAAGCACCGGCGAGATTAACAGCTTCACGAATAAATTGGTTTGAGGTAGGTTTATAAACATGACTAAAAGTTTCAGTTGCATTATTAAAATATATCAAAGCATTACAAATTTTTTCACAGGTGTCGATCTCAGCCGAGTTTATAATATAGTTATCATATTGTTTCATAAAAGCAGGAAAATGTTGTTTATATCTAAGAAGAACTCCAATTAACTTATAGGTACTATTCCAACGAATAGACAAATCTTTTGGAAAAGCCACATATCTCTCACCTCTTTCTATCAAATAATCATGCCATTTTTTCCTAAGGTGTCCATTACCCCAAATACGTCTAATCCCCCCCTTGACTACCTCCAACGATGCTCCCAACGCTTTTAGACCATCTTGCACACATAAATTTAGAACATGACATGCACATCGTTGATGAAAAAATCTACCCATCAAAGAAGTAGAACCACACAATTCACGCAATCTAGGAATAGCAGCAGTATTATTAGTAGCATTATCAAAACCAATAGCAAACACCTTATCAATTAAATTATACTCAATTAAAATACGTTCAATCAAAATATAAATATGTTTAGCGGTGTGACGATCATTAAATTCACGGAAAGCAAGAACACGTTTATGCATATGCCAATCATTATCAATATAATGTACAGTCAGACCCAAATAATGTAAATTATGATAAGTATCCTCCCATATGTCAGAACATACAGTAACACGTCCATCAAAGTTTGCAAAATAATTTTGTAACCTTACCTTTTCCGCACCATAAAGCCTTGAAATTTCTTTCTTAACCGTTTTGCGACTATAACCTCTATATTGCGGATTTAAACAAGTTTGTGCATAATCACGAAAAGCAAGACTTTCAGAAAACAAATAAGGCAAATTTTCTTCAACAAGTAAGTTAGCCATACCTGTCAAATTTTGTGCATCATTGTATGAGAAATTACCAAAAGCTTGTTGGTTATTTGCAAACCTCGATATTTGCATTTGTTTCCCCGTTCCGCCGCCTAATTTTGCATACTCCACCGGGTGTTTGGACTTAAGGTGTCTTGTGGCGGATTCGTATCCGCCGGAAATCCCCAAGCTATAGTTTTTCTTGCACCAATTGCAAGTTGCGGTCCAATTCCCGGTGTTCGGGTCCTTCCACTTAGAAAAATTATTAGCCATTAATTCAGATTTACTTTTTTTTGTACCTGTTTGGGATGAGGCTGGTTGGTCGGCGTCATGGCTGCCGCCACCCTCCTCCTCGTCGTCGTCGTGGCTCTCCGGAATTGCTTCCTCCACATCGTCGTCCTCGTCCTCGAGCTCTTCTTCGTCAATGGTCCTCGGTTGGTCTTGAAAAAAGCGGGAATTATGTCGGTGCAATTCTTGTTCTAGTTGTTCGTCGGTCATCACATCCCCATCCCTTCTTGCGTAACCCGTATCAAAATCATCTCGACTTTGAGATGAAGAGCCGATATGTGATTTACCTTTGCGGGATCTCTTCCTCGCAAGCTCTTTCGTTCGGTTGCGCCCGAGGTTACCCATATCAACCGAATATCTAGGACGATCCATCTAAAAAATGTAGCGATTAATAAAAAATTGTAAAAAACTAATTAACTATTTATGTAACTATTAAATCGAGTTATAGCAAATTAACTAGTGAATTAACTAGTTTTGTGTACAACATATTTTTTAAACTAGAGTCAAATGTAGCAATTAATAAAAAAGTGTAAAAAAACTAATTAACTATTTATCTAACTATTAATTCGAGTTATAGCAAATTAACTAGTGAATTTACTAGTTTTGTGTACAACATATTTTTTAAAATAGAGTCAAATGTAGCAATTAATAAAAAATTGTAAAAAAGTAATTAACTATTTATCTAACTATTAATTCGAGTTATAGCAAATTAACTAGTGAATTAACTAATTTTGTGTACAACATATTTTTTAAACTAGAGTCAAATGTAGCAATTAATAAGAAATTGTAAAAAACTAATTAACTATTTATCTAACTATTAATTCGAGTTATAGCAAATTAACTAGTGAATTAACTAGTTTTATGTACAACATATTTTTTAAACTAGAGTCAAATGTAGCAATTAATAAAAAATTGTAAAAAACTAATTAACTATTTATCTAACTATTAAACTAGAGTCAAATGTAGCAAATTAACTAGTAATTAAACAAGTGTAAATAATAGAATAATTTCGTACCTCTTTCGGACTTTCGATCTTTCGGATGGGAGTAATAGAATGACTTCAAATTAATTAGATATAATTCCAACTATATTAATAGATATAATAAATATATAAGTAATATATAATTAAATAACAAATATAAGTAATATAATACTATTTATATCTATTTATAGTTTATATAAGTAGATAATTAATATAAACTATAAATAATAAATATAATATATTGGAGAATGGAGAATAAGAGAATTAGAGAGTAGAGTTAAGAATAGGATTTAGGAAGAATTGGAGAAGAGATATGAAAAAATGTTTAAGATTAGAAGTATTTATAGGTTTTTTTACCCCCCACCCCCCCACCACCCAACCCCCCCGGACCCCCCTGCACCCCACCCATAACGGCTAGTAGCAATTTAACATTTTTTTTTAAAATAAGACCGTTGGACCCGGACCCAGACCCGACCCGACCGGGCCGGGTCACATTTTTCCGGAACCGTGCCCGCCCCGCCCATTCCCACCGGTTCGGGTCCACACCCGGTCCCGGACCGCCCGACCGGGCCGGTCCCGGGTCCGCACAGTACCAGGCCGGGCCGGGTCACGGGCCGGGTGGCCCGAACCGAATCCACCCCTGAAGATGTCAAACACATGCTCTATGCACAATATCTTCCTTGCTGAAAGATTTTGTATTTGGGCAAACACAAAAACACTGGTTAGACATTTCATACGAAGCATTCAACACTCAAGCACACCAATAATGAATAAGTGTTGTGCTCATGTGTTAATTATTCAAATGTTTTGCACTGTTTTCGTATTGATTAAAATTTATGCCTACCATTGTAATATTTGTACCAATTCAATGTTTCAAAGTTTGTAATAATTTCAAATTTGTTATTTGTTGTTAGGTCTCACGGGTTGAATTTAAAATTCCAATGATATAAATGTGGAACATTTGTTATTTAAATAACTCAAATAATCCATTTTCTTTTACATTTGTACACTTTTAGGGTGTGTTGGGAGTTGGGTTTGGAGGGGAGGTGAAGACCGATGAAGGTTTATGACCCGACCCTCCTTTTTATGTTTGAGAATTTATAAAATTGGAGGGGGTGGTTTTGGAGGACTTTTGTGATCCTCCAAAAACCCTCTAAATGCTCAATTTTTGAGTTCCCCAATTTAAAGGGTTTTGAAGGATAATTAACGAAATAGTAATTTAAGCTCAATTAAAAATAAATATCAATTCAATTATTTGAAATCGTCATATCTCAAAGTGATTTTTAATTATAGTTCATTCACAAACTCTCACCTTCCAAATTTATTACTCCAAATACAAAGAAAGACTTCCTCACCCTCCCCTCCCCTTCCACTCCAATAACACACTTCCTCCGTCCCACTAACAATGGGACAAAAGGAAGTGACAGGTAAATCAATAAAAAGTGGTTTATGGTATTGATATTGAATTGATAAAGTAACAATAAAAAGTAAAAATGATTTAGAGCAAAACAAACTTTACCAAATTTGATACAAACAATCTTAGTGGGATGAACCGCAAAGGTAAAATGAGACAATCTTACCGAGATAGAGGGAGTACCTCAAAAGTCTTTCCCTCCTCTTCCCTCCAAACTCCCAAACATATCCTTAATTAATGATTTGGGGAAGGGGGGAGGGAAGGTGCCGAAACAGGAATACAACAGGCCGCAGGCCGGTCTCGAGCCCCTATATTATTAATTCTCCTATAACAGATATTTGTATAAACATCAAGCTCATGGAAGAGAATCATAAAGAGTGGATCTTTGATGAAGTTATAGTACAGAATTTATATCCTCCCACCTCTCAAACCTCACCCAGTCACCCTCACTGTTTGGTGATTTGAGTAGTTGATTGGTAAAATCACACTACAAATATGACGAAATGACAATATATCATCACAAATTTGCCGTTGTTTCTTTGATCTCCTCCATAGAAATGGTCTGCAATAGTAACATTTGCAACCCAATGTAAGACGTCATCCACGAGATTGCGATAATAACATCTTATAATAACTAATACACATTATCGATAGACTAACAAGTAACAATAATGGGTATTTCATCAATTACATTTTGAACTTAACAGACTATTGTGTTTTCCTCAACTTATTGTTTTACACTTTTAAGGTACTCCGTATTACTCACTCTTATTCCGTATTACCCAACCATATTAGAACAAACCGAACCAAAAATGTTTCAATAAGATCCAACCAGATGTTGTATTTCAGACAAGAAATATTCAACAAGATGAGAAACATTCAAAGACAAGCCAAAAAGATACAGATCAGAACATTTCTTGAAAAATTCAGATCAGTTAGCATTTTCCTGAGCGAAAAGAACATGTCCTAGTGATCTACGAGTAGTATTTACCTGCTCTTTCCCAGCAAAATCATTGTCATGTGTAAGAAAAAGCATGCAATGGCACTCCTTCCTGTAAACACAAACCTTATAATAAGTGTACAGACAAATAATCAAGTGCCTCGACGTACTTATATTTCCATCTAAATTTCAACAGTCTAAAAGGTAAGCCTGCCTCTCTCTCATAGGTACACAAGGGCAGTTCCAGAAGCCCTGCTGCACTTCTGCAGCTTTATCATCGTAGTGCCTGTAATAATATAGATCATTAAAAAAGAATTAACAGAACAGATAGGGTATGTCGGGGTATAAAAAATGGTAGGGAAAGGGAAACAATGCTTAGAAAAGTTATGAAACTGGATTTAACTTGTAAATGTGAAAGAAAACAAAATATAATTATTTTTATTTAAACTTACGTAATTAAATATATATATACATACATACATGCATATATATATATATATATATATATTTCTGAGACTACGTAATCAACATAAAAAACAAAAAATGAGCATCGACAAATACAACAACATCATTCAAGCCTTAATCCCAAAATGAGGATCATCAACAGATATCTAAAACAAATTTGTTGTTTTTGGCATCTTTTATTTACCCACGTTCTCATTCCTTCCAATTTTCCTACATGTTTCCTTTCTTATTAACATTCCCTATTACTCCGTATTATTTTGCAAACTAAACAGAGCCATAAATTCTCGTGAAAGAAAAAGATCAGGAGCTTAATATTTTACCTGCAAGGACAGAGCGGAGCGCCTAGTGAGTCCTTGTGCTCAGCCAGTCCCTGTTTAGATTTTTAGATAGCATATCAGACTACTGACGAATCAGGAGAGACCAAGAATCTCAATATCCCACAAATATACAGATTACAGATTGACATGCAGTTGAGTATATTAAATGCGCTGTTTATTTTATATCACAGGTGCAAATTTTAACACTTCTTGTTTGAGAAGAACTGGAATAAATTGATCGTTACACCTAACACCTGTCCGGGTATCAAGCTCAAACTGTGCATACTTCATAAAAACTAGAATTGATATCTTTTATCCAGTGATCTGCAGAGAAACCAGTAAAATTTAAGAAATCCAAGTAGCTGCATCCTATAAAATTTGGAAAAAACGAGATACATTTTCAAACAACAAGAAGCTTAAATTAAAGACATTCAATTAGCTAGCAAATGCTTTTACAAAATTGATAAGAGTTACTGGCTATTTATGATCTTCCAACAATTAATTTGCAAATTATCCAACCCACTATCAGAAGTGTTAATGTTTTGACTGTATTTGGTAGCCAATAATGCTTATTCTACTATCAGCAAAACTTTGGAATTGCTTGTTTGGCTGCAATGGATGATACCTAACACCTTTTTTCAGCAAATTCACAAATTTTAGCCAAGTAAATCTTACCAAGCATGCTCTTAATGCTGAGAAATTATAAGATTTTAGCAATTGCTCATGGATCCCAAATTAAATTATGAGGCAAAAGACAATGCATACAAATAGCAACTCAATTTTTTATTAATTGAAGTATAGAAGATCAGGCGTAGCACGAAAAACAACTCCCATATAACCGAAGGATATAAAGACCTTAATAACAACAGCAGTGACCCCTTTGTCCACACAGAAGTAGGTTTCAGACCTCCTAGCATACTGCTCCGAAAACTTCCTCATTACTTCAACAGATTGCTCAGACGGTTCAGCTATGCACATCGAGCATAATGAAATCCAAAAAACGAGTTACTCCTTGATTGTTTTACAAACCGTAAGAAATTTCAATGATAGTGGAAACAAGAGTTAAAGAAAGAATTCAGATTCTTATAAATATATAAACTACTGCAAATAGGACTAAAGAGTGAGTCCTATACAAAATGTAAACGTTGAACAAAATAGAATCAAAATAAAAAGCGTGGTGATTGAAACAAGGAAACAAAGCAATACGTAAATTAGAAGAGGGAAGAAGTACCTGCGGCGAACACGACATGGCGGCGTCGGGTGAAAGAAAGCCAACTGCGGGGAGTAGACACGGTGGATGAAATGCCAAAGCCAAGATGGTTGAAAGAAACCGGTGCCTGAAGAGCTCCCATAGTGTAACTAACTAACTTGTTCTTGTTGTTATTCACGCTTGTATGAAATCGACGCCACAATTTTGCAGAAAGATATCTCTATCTGCTGTCCAAACAGCTTAAAGGCCGCCTGATCTCATATGCATAACACACTTGGGCGCAGCGGATTGAAGAAAAAAGGACAGATTTTCAATGGAAAATGAACGGATTTGGGAAGATGGGCGCCACACGTTTAACTTGGGTAACCCGTTTTCTATTCCACTAAAGTTCACCAAATTTGATTGACATGCATTTTTTTAATAGATTAGAATTTTTTTTCGAAATAATGCTAATTAAATAAATTATTCTTGAAATACTGCCGGGTTAAGAATAATTCCCAAAATACTGTTGGAATTAATCACGATTAAGGAAAGCCGTAACTCCAAGTGGCGGCTCTTGTATTACTTCACAAAAGTTGCCACTCCGAGTGGCGGCTCTTCTCTTATAGTACAAAAGCCACCACTTCAAGTGGCGGCTCTTCTCTTACATCCCATTTTGTACATATATAAAACGCAGTATGTTTCAAGAATTTGTTTAACTATCTTCCCGGTTAAATTTTGAGCTGAAATTTGGTATGCATAAACTAGACTTGATGAGGAACATGCTCAAAAAAATTCATCAAAACATTCCACCCCAAACACCCTCTTATGGTGTTGTCCTCTGGGGGTTCCGGTCAGGACGTCATGACAAAAGGGTGGTCCGGCTACCTCAATTTAAGGTGGTTCCCAGTGGTATGTTTTGATGAAATTTTTTGTGTATGTTCCTAATAAAGTCTAGTTCAGTCATACCAAATCTGAGAAAAACATTCAATCCGAAAGGCCGTCAAATGATTTTTGAAAGATAACTACGTCGGATTATACATATAAAACGCAGTTATCTTTAAAAAATCTTTTGGCTGCTTTCCCGATTGAGATTGGTTCTAAAATTTGATATGAATTAACTAGACTTTATGAATAACATACACAAAAAAAGTAAGCAAAATATCCCACCGGGAATCACCTCAAATTCAGGTGGCCGGACCACCCTTTTGTCATGACGTCCTGATCGAAACCCCCCTCGGACAACACCATCAGAGGGTGTTTCCGGTGGAATTTTTGATGAATATTTTGAGAATGTTCCTCATCAAGTCTAGTTTATGCATACCAAATTTCAGCTCAAAATTCAATCGAGAAGGCAGTTAATCAAATTCTTTAAATATACTGTGTTTTATATATGTACAAAATGGGACGTAAGAGAAGAGTCGGCACTTGAAGTGGCGGCTTTTGTACTATAAGAGAAGAGCCGTCACTCCGAGTGACGACTTTTGTGAAGTAATACAAGAACCGCCACTTGGAGTGGCGGCTTTCCTTAATCGTGATTAATTCCAGCAGTATTTTGGGAATTATTCTTAACCCAGCAATATTTCGGGAATAATTTATTTAATTAGCATTATTCCGGAAAAAAACTCAATAGATCAAAGAAATTATTTTTATTCAAGTAACAAATCAAAAACTTATGATAAATCAAAAAAACACAACACAAAAATGGAAAGACTACTTCAAATACAAATATATTACTTTTTGGTATTATTTATAAATTTTGACAAAGTTACATGCATATTCAACCATATTATTAAGAAAAGTGATTTTAAAATTTAAAATTTGTTCTTGGAGGGGGTTTTTATGCATGAATAATTAGAACACCGGGAGGTTTGACGCATTTTTTATATCACAAGGGGGAATGCGCTGAATTTATATTTCACGAGGGAGTTTGATGCATTAAACCTTTTTTTAGAGTGTTTGGAAGGTGATAAGGAAAGGTTGATTAGTTATTTTGATTGGAGTGATGTGAAGGTAAGGGATGACACATACTTTTCTTTTGGAGGGGTAAAATCACATGATCCAGAGCCTCTGTCTTGCTTTAAAGCAAGGCAAGGTGTCTATCCCTTCCAAACCACCTCATCAAAATTTCAAGGAAGAAAGGTTTTGAGGTCCACTCCTTCACCGATCTCGAGGCCGTTCATGTCGATATCTTTCCATCCGATGCCGCAAGGCACTCTGCCATATAGTAGAGGATCCTGAAAAGCATCAGAGGAGCTAGGGGGCATGGAGTCAAGCGCTCATGTTTCAGGATAAAAACATTAGTACTCTACTTATGTCCCTCCTTTTTTTCAAAAACCATAGTTCTCACAAGCATTAAAAAATAGTAGTACTATTTTGTGATGAGATATTACCCGAAATAGGACTAAAACAGTTTGAAAATTCTAAAATAGGACTGTCATGTTTTTATTCCCAAAATAGGACTCATTACTGCTCTGTTTTGGCAGTACCAGATTTCAAACATGTCAGTATTTTCTAAACATGGCAGTAATTTGTCCTATATTGGGAATAAAAAACATGACAGTCCTATTTTGGAATTTTGAAACTATTTTAGTCCTATTTCGGAAACTTCCCTTCTGTAATTTGGAGTAAGGCTCAAATTGGACACTATGATTTCATGAGAATCTCATATTGGACACTAATATTTTAAATAAACCAAATTGAACACTATGGTTACATATGTTGATATGTATCTCATATTGGACACTGAAATTTCATAATTCATAGTTTTTGGACACTCACTTATGATTCTCTTCTCCTTTTAATAAAAATCGTTAGTCTTACAGTTCCTTTCCTTTTTTGTGAAAGTAAACCAATTTAATTACGTATATAATTTTGGAATATTTAATTTTAAGTTTTAGAATATATAATTTGATTCTAATTAATAACGATTTATATTTAACAATTTAAAAATATATTTAGGACTTTGATCATATGATTTTTATGGAACTTTAAGAAATATTGATTTGTTAAATTGATTTCAAAATATTAAAGAAGAAAGAATGGCACAAATGTTACTTGGTAACTTTCATTGGACAAAAATATGATCAAAATCCATTAAGCCAAAAAAGTCACTCATTTAATCTCAAATACTCGATTTAAGCTTTTCTTCTTCGTTCGTAGACCAAGTACCTCCCAGGAGGGAAGTTTTCTTTTCGTTCGTAGACGGATTCTTAGGAGAGGATACCAGGAGCAGACCATCATCTCCCCACTCCCTTCGCGCACAGAGTCGCCTCCATCACCCTCCGCGCACAGAGCCGCCTGCATCGCCCTCCGCGCACAGAGCCGCCTCCATCGCCCTCCGCGCACAGAACCACCTCCATCTTCCTCCGTGGACAGAGCCGCTGCCATCATCCTCCGCGGACAGACCCACCGCCATCGCCCTCACCGTCCCCGTCCTCTACCTATGCACTTTTTCAGAGTCATCTTCATCCCTATCTCCCAGATCTGTGACAACACCATAGCTGGGTTTCTAGCCATGCGACGCTTCGGCGGCGAGCAACAACACCAGCGGTGGTCCAGATCTAGATTAAAATGGCTAGGGTTGGTGTTGGTTGGGGTATTGCGATGAATTGAGACAGATATTGGGCCAAGGGAAGGTAGAAGGGGCTGGGAAGGGGGCTAGGGGCTGCGAACTTGGGCGTGGTTAGTGCAAGGGGAGGGGAAGTGGTTGAGGTCCTTGAGGATAGGGGCTGGTTGGAAGGCCGGGAAGTGATAGCTACGTTATTGGGGCCACTGGAGGCAGGGGTGGAGCAAGTCAAGGGTTTTTGGGGTAGGGGGAGGTTCTGCTGCGGTTGTTGGCTGGTGAATAGCGGTGGTGAACTAGTGGCCGGAGTTAATCTGGCCGGGTCACGTGGACGTCGGAAAAAGTCACCGAAAATTTTTCTGAGAACATAGTGACACGTTTCACGGCAGGAGTGACACCTTAAAGTGACACGAAATCTGACAGTTACATTCAAAAGTGACATAAAAATCTAATAGTAACATATAAAAGTGACATAAAAATATGACAATGACATAAAAATATAGTGACATCATATTATTCCAAATATGTGACCTTCTTAGTCACATTTTTGTCATTTTATAAAAATGGTCACATTTTTGAAAATTCTATTTAATTTGGTGATATTGTAGGTTAAAGCCCATTAAAGAATTCAATTACATTATAATGATTTTCTTAATTGGAGCATCTAATTATATATTCTAAATCTAAATACACAAATTAAGTTATTTTTATTTTTTAGGTACATAAAACCAAGAGAAAAAGTAATACTTATACCTTTCAAGGTGAAAATCTTTGATGGGTGTCCGAAAATGATCAAAAAAATGTAAAATTTGATTAATTTGAAACTTTAGTGTCCAATATGAGACACATAAGTAACCATAATGTCCAATTTGATCCATTTGAAACTTTAGTGTCCAATATGAGATTTTGATACAACCATAGTGTCCAATTTGACCCTTATCCCTTGTAATTTTGAGTAATAGGTTTTTGATTCGAGGAGAAAACTCTACAAGCATTCCTGATCAATCTATCTCAGATTCTCAGTGTTGGAAATGCTATTGCGTTTAACCAAGCATTCCAGCCTAGCTGGTTGTGAGGTTACCGTGCCTAGTGAGAGGTCTCGAGTTCGAAACCCGCTAGGCACATAAGAGTTTGAAACTTAATGGAATGAGTTTCAACCATAATTACTCAAGGCCTCCCCAACCCCCCAACCCCAGACGTCCCCTGAAGTAAAAAAAAAGGACAAGAGAGCTCGGACGAAAAGTACACATGCGTGAGATATTATTAGTGATCCAATATTACAAAAATCAATCAATGAATTTGCGTCTATGATTAATGATGATGTGAGGAGAGACTATGTTGTTAAAGTTGTTTGTAAAGTAAAACCCCCTTGAAAACACCTTAATGTTGCTGAGACTGATACTTTTAACAATTATATGCACAATTATCATTGCGAATAACTTCAAGACAATTGCTATAGTCACAATAATGAACATATTCATTCATCGTCCAACTAACCACCAAAGCTGTTTAATAATTTCAAACTGGCATCTTCTTTGTGGTCTAATTGCAGCCCACACTCGAACCGGATTGCAGATATAAGCTCAGGGGACACAGCCATTTGAACCTTCTGCTGCTCTCTAGTAGCATTGCCGCTACTCATGGTGCGAGTTGCTTTAATCCCCGCAGCCCCCCACCCTCTGTACAATATAACTTTGTTTGTTTCATGGCAAACAAGCATAGCACCTGTAGCTTGCTATAAGGACACGCAGAATACAAAAAAAAACATTATATGTCAAACTGAACCGTAAAATAGATAGAAATTCATAGAATAAAGGTGCAAGATAAGTGCCGTTGCTCTTTTTTTACTCCGTGTTGTTTGTATTTCCCATGGAGTTGGAGAAAGATTAGAACATTATTATTATTGTGTAGTCCACTTTACATTCTAGTTATATAAAAGGAATAGAAGCTGCTAGAATCTAACTATCATACAAGAGACTAACCGTAGTCGGTTCAGTTAGGTATAATTCTAACTAACTATATTCCTAATATTCCCCCTTCGAGCTAGGTGTGATTTCTTTGGAAGTTCCATCACATTGAGTTTGCTTTTCAACTCAGTAAATCTGGAGGGTGAAAGTGGTTTAGTTAGCACATCATCAACCTGATAAGGACAAAGTAAAGATCAAGCTCCATGTGTTTTATTCTTGAGTGGAAAATAGGATTGTGAGCTATAGCACAGCACTGAGATTGTCACAATAGATCTGAGGAATGAAGCTTGGAACGTGAATGTCCTGAAGAAGATAGTGAATCCACATGATCTCTGCTGCAGTATCAGCTAAACTTCTGTACTCTGCTTCAGCTGAGGACCTGGCTACACACAGCTGTTTTCTTGACCACCAAGATATGAGATTAGGTCCTAGGAATACAAAAGTACCAGATGTTGATCTTCTATCATTAGGATCTGAGGCCCAATCAGCATCACAAAAGGCTCTTAGCTGAATAGGTGATCTGGGAACTATGGGCTGCAGTAGAAGACCATGTTTGAGTGTACCGGACAAGTATCTTAGAATACGTTTCACTACCTTCCAATGATCTTCTAATGGTGATTCCATGAACCGGCAAACTTTGTTGACTGCATAACTGATTTCTAGTCTTGTTAGGGTTACATATTGTAAGGCTCCTACAATAGACCTATAAAGAGTAGCATCTTTGACATAGTTTGGGCCTTCTTTTAAGAGTTTGCAGCAGCTAAGCATAGGTGTTGTGATGCCTTTGGAATCTGACATTCTAGCTTTTTCCAATAGATCCCTGATATATTTGGTCTGAGAAAGATGTAAACTGCCATCAGACAGTTTATGAGTCTCTATTCCAAGAAAAAAGTCAAGTTCACCCAAATGTTTTAATGCAAAATTGGAGTCAAGTTTGTGAATGAGTTGGTGAATGGCTGTAGTATTGTTTCCAAGTATCAGAATATCATCAAAATAGATGAGCACAAAGATCTGAGTATTGTTAGAGATGCAGAACAGAAGTGAGGCATCACATTTTGACTATTTGAAACCAAATGAATATAAAGTTGAGGCAAGTTTCAAAAACCAAGCTCTGGGGGCTTGTTTTAAACCATAGATAGCTTTATTTAGTTTGCAAACTAGTGTTTTATCTGAGGATTGAAATTCTGGAGGTTGCACCATGTAAACTTCTTCTTGTAGATCACCATTTAGAAAGGCATTATGAACATCAAGTTGTTGTATAGTCCATGAGTTGGAAATAGCAATGGATAGTAAAATTCTAATGGTTATGGGTTTAACAACTGGGAAAAGGTTTCACTGAAGTCAAAGCGAAACTGTTGATGAAATCCCTTTGCAACCAATCTGGCTTTATATTTATTAACACCACCATCAGGATTTTCTTTTATTCTAAACACCCATTTGCACCCAATGACATGTTTATCTGGTGGTAGAGTAGTGAGAGACCATGTGTGATTGTTCATTAGAGCATTATACTCTGTTTGCATTGCATGAAACCATTTTGATGAGGTAAGAGCCTGTCTAACTGATGTTGGCTCATTATAAGCAAGAAGCAAGGTGGGATTAAGTCTAGGTTTTACTACTCTTGATTTGGCTCTAGTGTTCATAGGATGAATGTTATAGGATGGAACTAAGGAGATAGGTGCAGTGATGGTAGGTGGAGTGTTAGAGCTAGGGAACTCAGAATTAGAGTGAGATGACTTAGAAGTAGAATTAATTGATTCAGAGACAGATTGAGAGAGCTTGGAGGTAGAATTATATGATTCAGAGTTTGACTGAGATGACTGAGAGTGTGAGTTTGACTGAGATGTTGATTCAGATCCAGATTGATTGGAAGAAGGAGAATGAGTATAGCTAGTTAAGGGTCGATTATTATCATTGTTGTTGAGAGGTACAGAGGGTGCTGTAGATTCAAAGTGTGATATAGAAGAAGATGGTAGGTTGTATAGAACAGTTAGGGGTGTATTTGAGACAGGATCAAACAGAATGAGTTGTTTCAGGAAATAAGGTAGCATAAGGGAATTTTGATTCATCAAAAACATCTTTAGATATATATATTCCGCCAGATGGTGCTAGACATTTATAACCTTTGTGTTGAGGAGAATATCCTAAGAAAATACATTCTTCCGAGTGAAAGACAAATTTATGCTTATTATATGGTCTTAGGAATGGATAACATGAGCATCCAAAAACTTTTAGAAAGATATAATCAGAGATAGATTTGTATAGCTTGGTGTAAGGAATTAAGTTGGATATAGAAGCTGAGGAAGTTCTATTAATGAGATAGACTGCTGTAGCAAAAACAGCATCCCAAAATTTGAAAGGGAGAGAGGAATGAGCTAAAAGGGTTAACCCTTTTTCAACAATAGACCCGTGTTTTCTTTCTACTACACCATTTTGATGGTGAGTATGAGGACAAATGAGTCTATGTGTTATACCTTTTTCAGTAAGAAATGAAGTAAAGGGTCTGAATTCACCACCCCAGTCACATTGAACAGATTTTATAGAAGAAGAAAATTGAGTGTTGACATAGGTGTAGAAGTTTTTGAATGAAGATAGAGCTTCAGATTTGTTTTGAGAAAATAAATCCATGTATACCTTGTGTAAGCATCAATAAAAGATATATAGTAGGTGAATCCATCAGAAGAAGTTATTGGGGCTGGTCCCCACATGCCAGTGAAAACAAGTTCAAAGGGTGAGGACTGAGGAGAATATAGTAGTAGAAGTTTGAGATGGTAAACGATGTGCTTTACCAAGACAACATGCAAAGCAGAAATTTAATTCATTTTTGGAAGAACAAGGAAAATTACAATGTTTGAGAATAGACTTTAAGGCCTCACAATGAGGGTGACCAAGTCTAAGATGCCAAAGATTACAATGATTGCTATTGCTAGACAGACTATTAGCAGATTTATTACAATAGACTTGATCACTAGTACAATCTGAAATGATACTTTTATTAACAGATTGACTACAACTGGAACTTGGAACTTAACTAAGATGACAAACTGAAACTTTTGAAGCTAGAGCAAGAGCTGGAAATGATTCAAATTTGTAGAGACCATCACTGCCAAGTATGTCATGCATTAAAACCTGTTTAGAATCCTGAGATTTGACAAAACACTCATAAGGATAGAATTCAAAGAAGACATGATTATCCATAGCAAACTTACTGACACTTATCAAGTTTTTAGTAATTGTAGGGACATAGAGCATGTTTTTGAGAGTAAGAGAGTGTGAAGAGTTATAGGGTGATAGGAATGATGAAAAACCAGTAGACTTAATAGCCAAACCTTGTCCATTGCCCATAAAGAGCTTATCAGTAGTCATAGCAGATGCCTCATGATGTTGAATGTTGGCAGGATCAGGGGTGACATGATATGTGACACCTGAGTCAGGGAACCATGACTGAATTGAAGATGGAGGGTGATTGGGTGCAGGTCCCAGTACAGAGTTATTAGCATAAGCCCAAGCTGCAGATGGATGATAGCCTGAAGTGTTGAAATGAGTCTGCCAGTTGGATGATGAGGTTTCAGAGGAGATAGGATTCTGAATATGATGATTGGAAGAGGATGGATTATACTGCATCATAGGTGAGATAGGTAATGGTGCAAGCGGAGGTGGTCTAGGTGCAGGATACTGAGAGTGAGCAGATGGGGATTGTGCTGAATGAAAATTAGGGTTGAAACGATGATAACACATGAGAGCATTGTGTCCTGGCTTACCACAGACCTGGTAGGTAACTGAGGAACGTCCACCTGATCTGCCTCCTCCGCGATAGCCACCTCTTTGATTGGAATGGTGTCCTCTTCATCTGAATTGATTTCCGCCTCGTTGAGTATGTTCAAACTGAGCAAATTGAACTGAGTTTTCTTGAGAATTTTGTTGATGATTAACTTGTTGCTGATTGTTGTGTTGTTGATTGTTGAAAGAGAGATCTTCAAGGCGAGCCAGATTAGCTGAGAAGAGTGTTGACTGAGAAGTTTGTGACGCATCACGCAGTTTACGTAGTCGCAGCTCCTTCGCAAGGAGAAGTGATTCAACTTCAGAGTATTTAGCCGGGTCTAAAGTACTGCGAGCAGAGATCGATGACACAAGTGACTCGAATTCCTCAGGTAATCCTTCAAGTATTTACATTGATATGATCCTTTCCTGAAATTGGTTCGCCAATTGACATCAGATCATCAATGATTGTCTAAATTTTGGACAGATACTCCGCTATGGATCGATCACCTTTGACTGTCGAATACAACTCAGATTTGAGTTGTCTCGCCTTAGCAATGATATTTGATTGGAAGAATTTGTGAAGTTCATCCCAAAGTTGATACGAACGAGAGCGATGAATTACTCGAGCATGTAGACTTGAAGATAGAGACAACAGAAGCCACGAGAAGAGCATTTGATCCTGCTGCTCCCAGGCAACATATGCCTCGTTGATCGTCTAACTTTCTTCTTCGTTTTCACCAGCGACGTATCGCGACGGTATCTCAGGATCAATAACATATTTCGGGAGTTTGTGAGCACGAAGAATTGATTATACGTGATGTTTCCGGAAGAGATAGTTGTTTGAATCAAGTTTCAGAGGTAACGGATGTGAAAAACTCATCGGAAATGGAGAATTTCCGGCGGCGGAAGTGACAGTAGTCGTCGAGGAAGAAACCATGATCGCGAAACTCAACGCTCTGATACCATATTGATAAACAGAGTGCAACAGAATTCAAGAGAAATGATTAGAACATTATTATTGTGTAGTCCACTTTACATTCTATTTATAGAAAAGGAATAGAAGCTGCTAGAATCTAACTATCATACAAGAGACTAACAATAGTCGGTTCAGTTAGGTATAATTCTAACTAACTATATTCCTAATAAAATCCATACACAATGCTCATTACGTTGTCCTAATGTTTACTTCTAGCCTTCTAGGTGCAAATTGGCCCTATGTGTTTTTAGGTGCTGTTGTGCTAATGTGATAGAACACTGATAATCGATACTCAGAATTGTAGAGAATCAGTAAGAAGTTGATCAAGAAAGAGATCAAGAAGAGTTTATTGATGTAGAAGAACGTATACAATGCCTAGGACAATTTGAGATGCCCAGTCTCCTAGCCTAGCCAAATCCAAATGAATACTCGCCTGCCTCATTTGCCTACCCTCCCTTTCTATTTATAGTACAAGCTCACTTATTATTATCTAATTAATATGCCCAATCCTATCACTACTCCCTCCCTAAACAACCACCTTGTTCTCAAGGTGGGTGATAGGAAACAGCCTTGACCGTCCAGTTCATCTTCACTCTGGCGCCTCTTCCTTCCCAATACATCGTTGATTTCTGTATCTTTAGATTCAACACTTGATCCTTCATCCTCACTTCCTCAGACCAGCATTTCTCTAGGGTCTTCACAGCCTTTTCATAGACTTCATTGTTGTCCTGAATCTGGAAATTAGAAGTCTTTTCTAGTCCTTCATAATCGTCAACCATCTGCGCATATAACTTGACCCCAATATTCAACCCAATTTCTTTGTCCCCTTTGCCTACTTCCGGAATGTTCTCCATCCATTCACTGCATATAGTAACAATTCTTGGATCTTGACAGAACAGGAGATCGCAGAGTATCTTAATGCAGCCCTTACTTGCAAAGCATCTAATCTGATCATGGTAGCCTCCCGATGTCGCTTTAGGAATAATGATATATGTCTCAATAATTGCCTTTATATAATCTCTACTCCCATCAGTGATATTAGACATTGTCCAGCAAACTTCAGTCAAAACTTCTTCCTCTTTCTTATGGATGAATGGTTGAACGACTGACAATTTGGGTTATTTACTCGGCGAGTACTCTCTGCTCAGCCTCTTGCCTTGCAGAGTAGCACCTTAACTCGGCCCGAGTTAATTTTCCGAGTTACTCGGCGAGTTAGTCAACTCGGTGAGTTGGTCAAATTGGCGAGTTACTCACTATTACTCGGTAATCGGTATATAAAAAAATTGCGCACAAAACCTAAAAATTTAATCGGTCATCGTTTGGGGCTTCGACTACTGCTGCTACATCATTTGGAGCTGCGACTGCTACTTCCAGGAGCTCCAACTGCTACAGGGCTGTTGGGAGTCACCTGCAAGTACTACAGGGCTACTACGAGGAGCTGCGATTGTGACATCAACGGGTAATTCTTTCCCTCGTTTCTTCTTCCTCTTGTTAAAAAAAATTAAATCAATCATGGGATTATTCAAACTGCTGCAGCCGCAATTGTTGACCATTGAATTCCAAGCTACTAAGTTCTTAGCCATGTTCTTTTCATAATACGTATAGACTGTGAGAATGTGAATGCATCACAATCTGCGTATAGACCGCTTGATATTGATTTACATGGCCCGGAAGTGGAAGAGGAAGAACAAGTGGGGAATCTGACTACTGAAGATCTATTTGGTGAAGATCTATTTGGTGAAGATCTATTTGGGGACATGGAGGATGAAGAAGAAAATCACGACCTTGAACCCAATGAAGATTAATATCAGACCAACTTATTAGATGATTGACTGCTTTATCACTTTTGCTTTATAACTTTTGCTACTCCATCATTAGGATAATAGGATTTCTATCCTTTTATTCACTTTTATGCATTTTAAGACAATTTAAAGACTATTTTAAGACTATTGTATTTCTATAATTTCGGGCACATATACTATTATATTTAATTAATACAAGGCCGAGTAATCACCGAGTAATCCCGAGTAATCGTTCCTACTCGCTACTCGGCCCTTGACCGAGTTGCTACCGAGTAGCGAGTAAACTACATAGCTGGCAATACAGCGTTGATCCGGGCAAATGGTGTTGGTGGCATGCCTTGCCATACGCTTGACAAAGTCCCTGTAGCATTCCTTAACGTACAAGGCTCTGAATGCTCCTTTGACTGAACAAGCAATGGTAGGATTGAATCCTGACCAATATCCAGGTCCCTACCGGTTGAATCATCACCAGCAGAACCAAATAATGTTGTAGAGGATGCAAGAGCTGCACGCCCTGCTTCAGCACTAACCTGCCAATTGCCTCCCAAACAACCTGCACCAATTCCAGTAACATTCCCGAAGGCTATAGCCGATTTATGCATAATGTCAAGCTCAATAGATGCAGTGAGTTTATCTTAAAAGGAAACATGTCCAATAAGTGCAACGGCATTTGCTACCCCAAACAATCTTCTCATCTCAAACGCATTAATTACTAGATTTGGAGTTCTACTGGCAGACTCAACATCAATTGATAATAAAGCTCTATTTCTTTCAGAAGAAGTGCAATCACCTGATGCTTTTTCCTCGCTTTCATCGTCGCCCTTAGTGCACGTCTCTGCATTTTCTCTGACAAAAGAAGCGCTCCTATCATTAGAGGATGGTTGCTGCTCCCTCATAGACTCTTGCAGGACTGTTGATACCTGAGAACTGGAAGCTATTGTTCGCGACAAAGCTGAAACAGTTTGCGATGACATCTGCGAACGGGAAGCTTCTCTCGATAGAGTCTTACTTGGTCGTGAACTGCTGGTGGATGATGAAGTTCGTGATTTCGAACTGTGAGAAGAAATCAACTCAGGTTGAAATCTACGAATGATAGATTTCTTCAGAGTCCCAATTAGTTTCTTCAGTCTGGTACTCCCAGGAATGAAACCAATTCAAAGCCCTACCTTCCATTGCAACCCTAGAAGCTTCAACCTTCTCTTCCTCTTCAATGTCATTTAACCGAAAATACCTCTCTATTTGTATAATCCAGTTATAGGCACCTTCACCGTTAAACAAAGGTAAATCTACCTTTCTTCCCGTCAGAACAGGCCTTCTACTGCTATCGTGACCCAAACTAGAGAGTCTAGAGCGAAAGTGATCGGAATTGCCTTCCAACGCAGCTGGACTCTCCGAATCTCTTGTTCTTCGATGCTGAGAAGTGTGCGATTTTCCCCTGGTTTGAAACCGTTCATTTATCGCCGCCAGGGATGCAGCGATGTTCTCCATCGCTGATTTCCTCTCCCTGTTCGAACGCTTCTCCCGGTTCGATCGCATCTCCCGTTTTGAACCAAAGGCATCCAGTTCTGACCGTCACGGTTCTCTGCTCTGCTCAGCGACCATCTTAGTTCATTCGTATCTCACCCTCGCGAATAACTACTTTTCCTCTTCTGCGATAAAAACGCGACGATCAAATAAGACTCCAGGAGCGATTTGCTCTGATACCAATGATAGAACACTGATAATCGATACTCAGAATTGTAGAGAAACAGTAAGAAATTGATCAAGAAAGAGATCAAGAAGAGTTTATTGATGTAAAAGAACGTATACAATGCCTAGGACAATTCGAGATGCCCAGTCTCCTAGCCTAGCCAAATCCAAATGAATACTTGCCTACCTCATTTGCCTACCCTCCCTTTCTATTTATAGTACAAGCCCACTTATTATTATCTAATTAATAGGCCCATTCCTATCATAATGTGTCTTTAACGTCTCCTCCCGGTGCACATCAGCCCTTATTGCTCTCCATTTTAGCTAAAACTAAACGTTTCATCTGTCTCAAAATAAACGTCATTTTCTTTTCATTGTATCTTAATTATTTCGTTGTTTCTACGTTCTAAAATACTTGTTTCATATAGAAACAAATACTAGATATAGAAAAACATAATTTTATTTAATTAATCTTTCTTTGGTGATTTTCAATTTACGTTTTCGCCTTCGGGAACAATAAAGGCCAATGTACATTGTAGGAAAGTGTTAGGTGCAAAAATGTTGAAGGCCAAATAGATATGTTGTTGAAAAAGAATATGGGCACAAACCTCAAGCTCAGATGCCACCTCCCTCACCGAAGTCCCAATTGCTCTACCTTTGACATTCACAACTGCAAGAGGATGCTTTTTAAAGTGTGTCTTGATTGCTTTGGCCACACCAGTAAATATATCACCTTTTCCTTGAACATAAACAAAGAACAGAAGCTAGGTGTCATGATTAATCAAGGGTATCTCTAAAGAGCAGACAGGCAGAAGACTAATAGGAGTACACCAAGAGGTTGAGCCTGTTTAGCCCACATTAGAGCATAGCAGGACTAATGATATAACAAACTTATGAACTGTATGACATTTGGGCTTTGTAGCACGCTTCGATAACTCACTGGTTATTGGGGTAAGCCCGTATAGCAAGCAGTTTTTAAATATAACTTAATTCTAGTAACCATAACTTTCTAAGTGTGTGTTTGGATGGAAGGTTTTGGACGGGAGAGATTCGAAGCGCTTAGTCTATATTATCATACTCCTTATTTATTTAGGATTTTAAAAATTGAAGTGATAATATAACGGGTCTGATCATATAGCATTTCAATCATCATTAATTCATTTTTAAAAACATATTCATCTTGATATGGACCAAGTTATCCCCTCAAAAACCCTCCCAACCCCTCCACCATTCAAAAACTTATGTTACTAGTCCCAACTATACTATAAATCCTCAAAGAAAAAATAGATTTTTAGTGAAAAGATAAAGCATGGGGGTGAAGGTGTGGCATATCTAGTACTAGCATGCGGGTTGGGTAATGAAGCTGTCAGCCTGTATTAAAAGTGCATGGTAGATGGTACAGTCAGGATGATATTGCCATCAGTTCATGACATATTTAAAACAGGCTGGCACGACTCAATCAAATTTCTGGCCCATCATGGGTTAACGTGCTTTACGAGCTCTACTTTAGATGAGTGCAAACATAGAAGTTTGATGACAATGGAAGAGGTAGTTAACATTTACCTACAGCAAGTACAGGACGTTTTGTTGTTGTAAGGGCTTGTTTTCGAAGAATAAGCCTTTCTCTGTTGGAAAGGGGGGAAGCACTAAAAGGCACTTCTTGGGATTCTTTTTCTTCTGGACCATGTTCTACCTTTGTTTTTAGAGAATTAACAGCAAAAGATGCAGCTGATTTCATGTCAAAATCTAGCCTCTTCTCAGCTCTATCATGGAATGAAGAACTTGTCTGATCACACCCAAACATAAACATGAGCTACATCAGACTTAGAATACTAGAATGTTATTTTTGGTACACTGACCTTAAGGCTCAGTCTGTAATGACTAATGAGGAAAAATAAGAGAAAGAAAATAGGATTGAATTGTTAAAATAATGATAAGGGAAAAGGGGCAAATAAGCCCTCGAACTAACCGAAAAAATGCAAATCACCCCTTTTATAGGAGGCTCTGTCCGGCTGTCGCCATTTGGGGTGGTTACCGGTGGAATTTTTTGATGATTTTTTTTGAGCATCTTATCCATTAAATCTAGTTTACCCATATCAAATTTCAGCTAAAAATGAAATCGGGAAGGAAGTCAAGTAAATGTTTGAAGATAACTGCGCAGTTAAACAGCGCAGTATAATTCAGAAAATTATTTGACTGTCTTACCGGTTGAAGTTTTAGCTGAAATTTGGTATGGGTAAACTAGACTTAATGAAGAAGAAGTTCAAAAAAAATCATCAAAAAATTCCACCGGGAACCATCTCAAATGGCGACGGCCGGACAGAGCCTTCTATAAAAGGGGTGATTTGCACTTTTTCGGTTAGTTCGAGGGCTTATTTGCACCTTTTCCCTAAAGATAATAATTAATAAGTGAAAGGAAAGAAGATTTAGGGAGAAACAAAAGACTGACATAAAATCATTAGAAAATAACACTCCACGACATTTTCCTTTCCCGGGCATTTCTTGTGGGACCAAAACATACTTGTATACCTTAAAAGAGTGAGGACCTGATGCAGTTTCATACTTTACATTGTCTGCTTCTAAAGTTGGCTCACTTTTGATTTCTTTGCTGGACACATGTTCAGATTCAATAGTATAAGTCAAAACTTCATCTTTGTTCTCCAACAGCATAGAGTGATCACTTTGCAATTCCTGCAGAAGCGAGTGAATGGTGACTATCAATTCAACAATACAATCTATATTAAGTATACTTCTGTTTCATGATATTAGTTGTCTTGGTTGAAACTTTTTTTCACAATATCTGTCATTTTATAATATCAAGAAAGCATTTTATCTGAAACATCCTACTTCTTCTAGATCACAATTCTCAATTAAATAATTTTAAATAGTTTCAAGGTGTAATAATTAAGAGGAATTTTAGTTACAAAATTTTAAGATTTTTGTAACGAGCTAAACAATGATTCTGCTACATCCCAAAATGCAGTTAATACAGCTCCATATCAGCCAGACAGCCACTAATTACAACCCAACAAACAAATCCCATTTACTACTTACTTCTTCAGGACTTGACACGCAGAGATGAGCTTCATTTATCACCTGCTGATCTTTTGAAAATCTTTCACTTTCTGAATTCAAATTTGGCACTAATTCAATTCCCTTAGTGGGCAATGTGTAACAATTCTCCACAACACTCGTATTAAACTCAACCTCAGCCTTATTTTCAGATTGGGTAAAGACATTTTGTTGCAATTCCTGCTGAGCATAGTAGACGGAGGGATATCAGATCCACTTTTCATATCAGCCATGTAAATACGCCTATGAACAAATACCAACCAAAACTCACTTTTTCAGTTTTTAAGTCTCTCAGTTGGACATCAATCATTGCACGATCTTTCGACTGAATCAAATTTAAAATATAGAGTTATATTTACTTCTGAAATTACTAATATGTGCAATTAAAAGAACCTCTGGACACCTCTTTTGAACCCACCAACTTTAGCTTCAAGTCTTCTATGTTCTGGTTAAGCTTTAACACATGGAGCTTCAATGACTGCATTAAACCAAACAAAGAAAAAAATATCAGTATGGTACTAAGAGAGCAGTTTGTTAAAAAAATCGCAAGCAATGAGTTACTACCTCCTCCGTCCCACTAACATTGGGACATGAGGAGGTGACACGACTATTAAGAAAAGTAGGTTTATGTGGTTGATATTGAATTGATAAAGTAAGAATAAAGCAAGAATGATTTAGAACCAAAACTTTACCAAATTTGGTATTAGACAATCTTAGTGGGACGGACCGAAAAGGAAAAATGGGACAATCTTAATAGCTTGATTTTCAAAATTTAAATGTTTCATTTTACTAGGGACTAATAAATGCACGGTTAAATTAATTACCTCACGACGTTGAGCCTCAATAGAACGCTTCATTGCTTGTCTTTTGCTTAAAAGTGTCTGAGGCCTCAAGAAAGCAGGGCGCTCATAATTCTTCCCACGGTACACAATGATGGCATAACCCTTACTGGTTTGCTCAATAGCAACTAAAATACCACCACTTTCACTCTCCAGCGTTCCTGCTATTTGTTGAACCTCTTCAATGCCCTTCCTCCCACCAGCTAAGATCTTCACCAACTCCCTATACTTCCAGTGAAGATGCATGTTTTCAACTGTTCCACTGAACACTCCTCTTCTACCTGAGGATGAAAGAAGATGTCACCTAAACTTATCTTTTAGCCCTTGTATGATTGGCAGATTTATTGAGGGAGGAAAGTGGATGGGTGGACTTTATTTTATTATATTATCATTACATATAGATGGTTAGATGGAAATTAAAAATAAAACAGCAACAACATCCAAGCCTTAGTCATAGTAGTCATGGCGCATGGCGACTGTCATGACTCAAAGGCATTTTTCATGGCGCATGGCGATGGCGCATCTACGAATGGCGCATAAAGCGCATATGGCGCTATGGCGACGACCACTTTTCATGGCGATAGTGCATATGGCGCGCGCCATATCTAGCCATTGACTACTATGGCCTTAGTCCCAAAATATTTTGGGGTCGGCTAACATGAATCGATACATGATATTGTAACCAAAAGGAAAAGAAAGGTAAGAAAGAAAAAAAGATAAGCTATGATAAAAAAGATAATATAAAAAGAGATGGATATAATCAAACGTACCAGTGGTTTTCTAGTCTAAAACTAGCATTGAGAAATGAATTAGTAAAAGAATAACAAGCTCCTTCCTCTCCCCTCTCAAATCTCCAAACCAAACAAGCCCCTCATGTAGGGAAGAAACACTCACCTAGGATTAAGAAGGGTTTCATTCTCAAACCAACCTTACGCAGCATATACCTTTCTTCTTCAGTTATACCTTCCTTATCTGTAATAGGCTGTATGGATACCTCTTCCATTACTAACTCTTCTAGAAGTTTTTCTGCCTTTGCTTTCTTTTGTAATGTCTGGAATTGAAATACTTTTAGTTAAATATATAGCCATATAGGTAATTATATCCACAAGGAAGACCAGGCCTAACAGGTACTCCCTCCTGTTTACTACAAGTGTTGTCTAGGAGGGGAAAAATTGGTTCACAATAAATGTCGTTTTACAAAATAAGACAGTAATTCCATGTTCCTATGCAAAATTAATCTTCAATGATAAATTGATATTTAATTGTTAGCAAGGTGTATTATTGTAAAGCTTTTCTATATTTAATACTCCCTATGTCTCTTTTTATTTAGCCAAATTTGACATTTCAAGTCAATGTGGTTAAACTTTTACCGATTATATATTTATACACGGTAGTATTGATGATATGAAAATGTTCTTTGTTAAAATTACTATCATAAAAGTATAAATTCATTAAATTTCACATAAATATATTACTTAAAATAATGGATCAAAGTTTACCATCTTTGACTGGAAAGTCAAAGATGGCTAAATAAAAAGGGACGGAGGTAGTAACTCCTTTATTTGCATGATTTATTCTAAAACAATACTTATTGTGAACAGGAAGAAGTATATTTACATACAGCTTCTAGTTTGTCAGAAGTTCTTTTAGCAGCGGCTTCCACTGAATATAGCTGCCTTTTTTGTGGGACATCTTTCTGATTACTTTTACCCTTATTCTCCTCTTCAGAAGGAAATTGGATGATCGGCTGTACAGCTTCTTCCCTCAAAATTAGCACCTGCTTTTCTTGGGCTGCTGTCTTCAAATTTTCACAACTACTCTCGTCATTTGAAATAGATTCAGTGATTGGTTGAGCTTGATGATTTGCATCAGACACGGGTGAATTACATTTTCTTGGGTTTCCTCTAATTGTTTGTTTCCTCCGCTCTTCAATTGCTATGGAAACCACAGCAGGCAAAAAATCCTTACCTCTATAGAGGGTAATATAATCTTTATCCCTAGCTAGCAAGATCCCTCCAGTCAGATGCTGCAATATTGGTATCATGACCTCAGTTAAAAGATGTTGCAAAACTCAGGGCCTACTAGGTTAGAGGTTTTTCGGGAGGGAGTTAAATGAACCCCTCTCCTCATTTGATTTAAAAATTTAAGAGACAGAGCCCCTCCCCTTATTTTGGCCTTTACCAATTTGGGGGTTTTGAAGGAAAACTATCATTTTAACTTAGAACATCCCTCTCCAATCCAACCCTTCTTTCCTCTTACAAAACCTAACAAGGTAACATTTAGGGCCCGTTTGGTGACCGCTGCTTTCGGCTTATCAGCCTTACCAACCATTTTTTTTACCAAACATGTACATTTTAATTTTGCGCGCTGAGTTGTATAAGAATCAAAGGAAGGCTGGAGTTACCTGAATTGGTTGAAGTTACTCTAGAAAACCATGTTACCTATTTTTCCAAGCTGGATTGGCTGAAGTATTGAGATGTGTGGAGAAGAGGCAGGGAAGAGAGGGAGAGGAAGACCCAAACAGACGTGGGTTAGGGGAGTTCGAAGTGATATGCTTCTTCTGGGGTTGGATGAGGGCATGACTTTTGGAGAGAACTAAGTGGAGGGCGGGTATTCACGTGAAGGAGTGATCTTGATAATCTTTTTCCCTCATCTTTTTTTTCCTAGTTTTCTTTTTATCCTTATATATATGCATTATTTGCAGCCTTTTTATTTTATCATTTCTATATATATTCATCTTTTTTATATTATCTTTTCATAATAGCTTATCTTTTTATCTTTATTCCTTCTTTTCCTTTTGGTTGTGATATCATGTATCGATTCATGTTAGCCGACCCCAATATCTTTTGGGACTAAGGCTTGGATGTTGTTGTTGTATTAATATAATACTAGTATATATTAAATATAATTTTTCCGCAACTCAACGAATTTCAGTGTTACCAAACAGGCTCATTATGTTCCCCTCTCTTCTCCTTCCCTCTCCTCCCCTGCCTTTGAAAAAACATAATGTAGAATGCAAAGCTCTTCAATAGCAATGTGTCTCTAAATTGTAAGAAGTAAGGTCCTTTTGGAATCTCAAAAATGCTAGATAAATAGGGGGGGAGATGCAGGTAAAGTTTGTAAGGAAAGAAAATCTGAGGGAGAAAGAAATTGGTTCAAACTCAAAAAACGATTTTAGATGTTTGTTTCAATTCTCAATCTCATTTTGTTTATATTTCTATATAATTATATATGTTGTATTATATAAAGATTATGGAAATATAAATACATGTAAAAAATTGATGTTTTTTTATCAAATATGATTTCCACCACATATCCTTGGAGGCGCAAAAAATAAAAAACCGTTTCCCTTAGCTTTGTTTTTACTCTAGCTTTTTCCCCATTCCAAACATAGCCAAGAAGACCACCACCATATAAATACTCATAAGCCCAAATTAAAGTGACAATTTAATTTTTTGTTCATTATAAATTTATAAGAAAGCATAAAAAACATGCCATGCATACATACCTTCAGCTCTTCAGCCATCAACTTGCTGTTGGTGTTCTGTGCTCCTCTTTTTACAGCAATTTTTGCTATTTCACATTTCTCCCAAAGCTTCACAATGGCAGCAGCTAATCCTTGAAGACTCCTATTCCAGCCTGCCTCAGAAAGACAGAAACATGAGAACTTTTTTTAAGAAAAGAAAAGTGATCCCAATGTTCTGAACTTCTGATTCAAAAGAATAATGAGCCATAAATAGTATTAAACTCACTTAAAGCAAAATGGCAGCGTAGAGGCCGAGCAAGTCTCTTTAATGTTGTCATTTCATCATTTGTTAGTATAGGTTTCACTCCATATGGAAGCAAGCGGAAAGGTCTCTTATAGCCAGGGACTATATCTGGCAAAAGATCAGCATCTATTGGTAAAGGAAGATTCCCCCACCAATCAGTAAAACGTGGCCCAAGCCCTTCTAACAACTGGTCAGCTTCTTCAACAAGTTTTTGCTCACCAGGAAGTTCATATCTTACTCTATTTGGAGAGCCGACCCCCTTTACCAGAGAAGGATAAGAACCTCCATTTATGCTAAATGAGTTGGTCTCTATTCCACTGAAGTAGGGATATTTATAATCAGTTCCTCTGTACAATACTATAGTACTTCCTGATCTCCAAATAACCAAACCTCCTGTTTTTGCCTGAGTAGTTTTAAAACATTAACAGAATGAATAATAAAGTACTACACATTTCACAATAAAAAGTGATGTATATGTTGTTTTTTAAGTGACATTGTAGGTGTTTACACACACACTAGGAAATCAATAACTTTTACCGGACAAGAACACTCATATAAATGTTTTAAAGAGCGTGCAGGCGGATGGAGAAGGGTAATGGAAGAAATTGGGCGATTATGTTCTCTTGAAATACTAAAGAAACCGTTATTAGACAGCAAACAAAAACTACCCACGACTAAAAGAGAACGAGGTGTATTAGAGTGATTAAGAATATGTTATGAACAACTGAAGAAATAGATAGACAATTATGGGCCTGACCTCTAGAATATCATGAGTTCTCTTCATATTCATCCTGCACAGTTCTTTACAATTTATCTTCACAAGCTCAGACCGCCTCCATCTTTCATGAATGCCATTAACAATACCCTCTGTAATCCCGGACTTCCCTATGTTAATCTTCTGGTCAAGTTTAATCCCTAGTGTCCTCAGCCTACGCAGCTCCTTCCCGGGCAAAGTTAGCTCAGCCTTAGTTATCACTGTCTCTTTAGTCTCATTTTGATTCTTCTCCCTCTCTTCCTCCTGCTCCCTCTTCACCTCGGACCTCAGAGCATGAAATCTCTGTATAGCATTGCCTGACCCGGGCAGGGGCACAGGATTCTGAGGGGTGCTCCAACTCGGGTCGAGGGTATGGCCAACTCTGTATTTCGGTAACTGATTAGGCAATGGAACAAAAATTTCACCCGGAGAAGAAGAGTTCGTCTTCTGGTATAGGGTTTCCTCTGGCTTCACTTTATTTCCATCGTCTTCTACGTACCCAAGGCTGCGAAGCTTTTCGGCTACTCTTTCTATGGCGGACTGGGAAAAAGATTGGGCATGGGCGGCGGCGGATGCCGCTACAACGATAGAGGCCCGACGAAGTTCGTCCCTGCAGGGAACTATTGGGTTCTGAGATGTCAGCAATGAGAAGGAGAAGAGAATTAGGGGTGAAGGTTTCAGGAGGGTTGTAGATCGGTTAACCGGTCGATAAGTGCCGGGAGCTAGCAGCAGCATTTGAGGTATAATCAAGAAATGTAACTCGTCCCGGTCGGAAATTCCTTTCAGCTGAAAGGTATGAGCTTGGCTTGCCGGCAGTAAGTATATCTACACGCTTACGGCTACTTTACCATCACAATGGGCATCCCATGGTAAGTGTGGAATCGGAAGTTCGGAGTTTCAGAAAGAAGAGGAGTTTCTCTTGTTTGATGATCATTCCACAAACTTTCTATATGGTTAGAATTGGTTATTGGATTAAGAAATGAGACATGAGAGTAGCAAACTCGTCATTTTTTAAGAATTGAATTATCTAATCATTTTTCTATATTGTTTTGTTTTATCAACAATACCACATTCACGTTTTGGATTACAAACACAATTCGGTAAAGTTTTCATCATAGATATCTTTTTTAAAAAAAAAAATCAGTTGGTTATAATGATCACTTGCGTTGAGTATTCCTAGTTTTAAAGTATTGGTTTCTTCTTTGTAAATTAGAAAATCTACAGGCGTCAACGGATGAAAACATTTACTCCAAATCAGATCAAAATTTCACTCGCCATGTCTATTCAGAGAACACGTTGTATGATAGATCAATCGTACGACCCAATGTTATTTCATATTTCTCAGATTGGACACATGTCATCATCTTTTGCAAGTGGAGCGATTGTTCTGTGCACAAAGTTGAACTTATTCTCCGTATTTGCCATTCTCATGACCTCCCTCCCAAAAGTCTTGTCGGATCAGGACGTGGGGGCCCTTAGGGGTCGGAGATTCATCCTTTTGGAAGAATTTGATTTGGGTTTTCATTAGCGTGAAGGAAGTAGGGGTTGGAAAACTCCTCTCTCATAGAGGATCTATTGGAACACACCCGTCGCTGGTAGAATGCTCTCATACCATTTTGCAATGAGTTATGCTAGAGGTACAAAAACTTTTACAAAAAATCTTACAAAAGGGTATGTGGCATCATCACATTATTTAACACATCACATTTACAATACTTTTACACCAATGCTAATTAGAATAGCCACATCACTTGTTTGTAAGTTTTTTTGTAAGTGTGTTTGTACTTCTGGCATCCCTCAGTCCCATAAAATTCTTCCCACTTTTCTTTTTGGGTCGTTCCAAAAAATTCTTCCCACTTATCATTTTGGACAATTTGTGTGGTTCACATTCATTTCACTTTTTTCTTACACAACCACAACCATACATTTCCACTTTATTCCACTTTCTTAATCTCCGTGCCAAGTCAAAGTGGGAAGAATTTTATGGGACAGAGGTAGTACTAGTTTTAAATTGAGAGAGAATTCCCTAAATAGGAGTAAAAAAGTTTTGAAATTTCAAAATAGGAATATTTTTTTTATTCCTTGAATATGAGTAAATTTCTGCAAGTTTGACATTACTAGGTTTTAAAACATGGCATGTTTTTCCAAACTTGTGAGATTACTCCTATTCGGGTAATAAAAAACATGATACTCTTATTTTGGAATTTCAAAACGGTTTTACTCCTATTTAGAGCAATTTCTATTAGACTTATGATTGAATTTTAATTATTTTTTCATACTCCGTATTAATTTTTCTTTATTTTATTAATAAAATATTATACTATCCTTTGTTCTTTAATTCTTGTAACAGTTTGACTTTCACGTTTGCCAATGCACAACTTTGACTGTAATTATATTTAATTATGTATTAGTAAACATTATAAAAGGTTGATATTTTGGAATTCACATCGATAAGAATTCAATAACATTTTATACATAATAATTTGATTATGTATATGAGTAGAAAATCATGGTCAAAGTAAGTCCTCTGAATAGTACAAAAATCACAATGTTGCAAGAAGAGAAAGTATATATTAAAACACTATGAAGAAGGGGTGATCGGGAGATGGAACCCCAACTCCAATGAGGTGAAGAACTCGAAAGGGAGGTTTGGTAATAATATTTGGTTCCTAAGGTCGGACCATGATACACCGCATTACTTATAATCGTTAGAGCTATTAAAATTTGGTTAATCTGTTTGCATATTCATAACATATAGCTATATAGGAAAGTGTATGTACATTCTTGTGAAGTAAATATACAATTTCTCTTTCTTCAAAATTGCAAAAGAAAAATGCTAGAAGTACAAACATATTTACAAAAAAATTTACAAACAAGTGATGTGGCTATTCTAATTACTATTGATGTAAAAGTATTGTAAATGTGATGTGATGTGTTAAATAATGTGATGATGCCACATACACTTTTGTAAGACTTTTTGTAAAAGTTTTTGTACCTCTACCGTAACTGGACACTTCAACACACATAATAAAGGATTTAAGGCTTGAAAAAGTTAATGTTGATATGTCCTGAAAAAAGGATTAACATATCAATTTCTAAATTAAAGATCAACAACATGCTACGCTTTCTGATTTAACCCTCTGGAACTTACAAAAGATAATAAAGGCCACCAAGCTGACAGAGCTTGAAGATGCCAAAAACCAATAATAGTTGTCCAAACGCGCCTCTCTCATGTCGTCGGAGAACCAGCTGTGATGCTCTCCTGCAGATCTCGAGCACGTCAAGTGCTCTATCAGAGAGATAACCGCCGACCCGAGGAAGTTCCCCACACCAAATACACTTGTATTCAGAGCCACCCCAAAGGTCTTCATATTTTCCGGCACGGAGGAGTAGAAGAACTCTTGCATCCCCACCACTGTGAAAATGTCCGAAATACCCAGGAGAATGTACTGCGGAAGCAACCAGAAGATGCTCATCGGCACCACATCGGAATCTTCGGGCAATTGTAACCTACTAGCGTGGAGCCTCTTCTTCTCTGTCAACGCCGCGGTCACCATCGCTACGACGGAGAGGAACATTCCGATGCCCATTCTCTGCCTCACGGTCACGCCCTTCTCATTGCGCGTGAAGGCGCGTATGCAGGGTATGAAGATCTTGTCGTACACTGGCATGAGTAGGATGACGGAGACTGCGATCGCGCTCTGGAGGGCGGCTGGCGGGACCTTGATTTTGGATCCAATGTTTCTCTCCATTGTCATGCCTTGTCGGGTGAAGAAAGTCGCCGGCTGCTGGAAAATGACGGCGAACATCAGGAGCGTCATCCATGTTGGCAACAAACAGACGACTACCTTGGCAAGGTGTAACGGATTGATGCCGTCACTGCCCTGTTTCCTCCCGCCATTGGAATTTGGAGAGTGTAATGGGTTCTGGATCTGATCACGAAGTCTGTCAACAAAAGTTAATATGTAGTTGAATAATTTAAATCTAAATTGAAAATGATGTAATGATTTGAACCAATCAAGTGAGTGGTAGGTACGGTATCCCATTTTTTAAATGAATACGGGAGTTGTCTCCTTCAATTTTAAAGGACGTTTATAAATTTCAAAATAAGAGTTGTCTTTTTAGGGAAACTTATTTTGTACACGCCGGTGTGTGTATGCGGCGCATCTTGAACATGATACTCCACTCACAAAAATGATGTAATTTTGCACATTTTAAAAAAAAACGTGTGAACAGTACACGCGTGAACAGTACATGTGTGTGCTGTAGTTGTTTTTATTTGTCCGAGTAGCATGAATTATGTAACTCGCGTATAAAGATATGTAACTCGCGTTATTGATCAATGTAACTTAAGTGCGTTTGAAATGTAACTTGTCAAATACATAGTATAAGAAAAAAATATTGATTTCAATGTAAACAATAAAAAATTGATCCTAATAGCTTAATTACTTTTTTTATAAATAGTGAATATTTTTTATTTTTAATATTAGACAATAAAAATGATATAGCTGAAATTTATTCCGTGGTGTAACTCACATACATTAAGATGTAACTCGTGTATATTAATATATAGCTCGTGTACATTAAGATGTAACTTACGCAAAAGATGTAATTTCATGATATATTATCAAATATAACTTTAAAAATCAAAATAAACAAACTCAAAATGTAACTCCATTTATTAATTAATATATATACATACACACCATATATAAATTTTGCTTCATTCCTTTATGTAAAAAATTTCTTCTCTTTATATATGAAGTATATGAATTTAATTGGTGGCGTGGGATGCTTTTCACTTTTGTTGGGCAAGATGAGTGAATAGACAACAACACTGCAGCCGCCATACAAACACGAAGGATCCTATCATTTATGTAGGCGAAATAAAAAAGGGCACCAACTACGAAGAGGGGATGGTTGCCGGCAAAGAAGGTCGTCCGCCCAGTCTTCTCTCTTTCAGAAGAGTTGCCCTCTTTTTCAATTAATAAAACAATGTCATTTTGGGATCGGCACACCATGAGCATGGTGGGCCGATCCCATGGTATAATTTGCGCAAATTTTTTGTCCATGTCACATCGACATGTCTCATGATGACAGTGACATGTGCGGCAGTGATAGTGACACTTATTAAATGATATAAAAATCTGACGGTGATATAAAAATTTGACAGTAAATCATTTATTTTTTGAAATTTATTACTCGTATCTTTTTTGAGTATGTAAGAGTAACCACTTTTTGAATTCTATTGAAAAAGTAAGCTTAAATGTAATCACATTTTAGGATAAATTCCATTATTTCTACAGTTATAGCATATACATAAAACAATATATATCATATCAGACCAGATTGGGGCAAACTAGATCAAATCAGATCAAGTTTAAAAGGGGGGAAATTCTGAGGTACTCCGTATAAGAGTAAAATATTTTGGAATTTCAAAATAAGACTGTCATATTTCTATTTCCTAAACAAGAGTAACTAATGTTAAAATTAGAAAATATTGTCATATTTCGTACCTAGCATTAGAAAAAATTGTCCAATTTATAATATTGCAAAACTCAAAGAGCCCATTTGGTGACCCCTTTTCCGTTTATCATGCTTATAAACCAGCTTATTCACCAAACACGTAACTTTTGATTTCGCCCATTCAATTGTGTAATAATAAGAAAAAGTAAGGTTGAAGTTACTTTTCTGGTTGTATTGACTGAATTTACTGTATATGATTATTGTAGTTATTTTTTCATATAATTTTTTATTTTATTTATTAATACTACCTCCGTCCCAAATTGATTTGCAAATTTGACTTTTCTTGACCAAACAGTTTCATTTTATTTGCTTAATTAGGATGTCAAATTTTAAATATATTCTAATTTCGAGTTTACAACTTCGAAGAGATTTTAATGTAGTTTTTTAATATATAAATTTTAATTATAAAAAATTGAACTAATTATCGATAGAGAGCATTGACTTTTTTTTATTTGTTGACCAAATAATGTTGACTTTGCAAAACAATTTGGAATGGAGAGAGTAACAAATGTTTTAAATATATTTTTTTTCATAAATCAATCGGAACCACTTTTTCTATTTTAGTGTCACGAAAGTGGCTTAAAAGGAAGCAAATTTGGGGATAGCAGAGCACTTACTCAACGACGACGTCAGATTTGTCCACCGGCACTGAAGTTTCACTGTGACTCTTCAAACTTGAAGCAATGATCTGAATCAGGTTGGGTTCTTTGGTTTTCTTGACTCTGTAAAACCGGGTCCCACAGAAGAACAGTGTCAAGGATGCCACCATTGCAATGGCGGGAATGGCAAATCCCAGGCCCCACCCGACCGTGTCCTGAATGTAGGACATGCCCACGATTCCCACTAGGCATCCGCAACAGACGCCGAAGTACCAGCGCTGGAAGAACATGCTCCGGCGGTCGGAGTTCGACTCATGGTCGTCGCCGACGGTGCCCAGAGGCGGAAAATCGTGTTCTTCCTCAAGTTGGTCGGCTCCGAAGGCCTGTAAAGAAGCGTTGAAAACGCCGAGGCCGAGGGAGATCAATGCTAGAGACCATGCTAAGAGAGAGGAGCTAGCACTATTGGTCGACCTTCTCCATGGCCAACTTAATGCCCTTGATGTCAAAGCAAACAGCCCCTAATCAATCAAAGCAAGGGTACATTAGGCCTATTGTAGTCTCAAGTTATGACACTAATTTTTTTCTATCTATTTTTCATATTTAGAGACCTTTTCGTAATACCAAAATCGGTTGAATCGGTTGATTCTGCTGAAATTTATGAAATTCTTGCTGAAGTGGCTCAATTGGCTGATTCTACTGATTTATGAAAAAAATTATATTTAAAATATATTTTATTAATAAAATAAAAAAAATTATATGTAAAAATAGATAAAATGGTCGTTTACAGTAACTTCAACCAATACAACCAGAAAAGTAACTCTAACATAACTTTTTTTTCTTATTACACAATTCAGCGCGCGAAATCAAAAGTTATGCGTTTGGTGAAAAAGTTTCTTGATAAGCCGAAAAACAGGTTATCAAGCGGGCTCTTAGCGTACCCGTTAAAGTTTGAGCCTAATGAATTACTTTTCAGCTCAGTCCAACAATAATTCTTGGATCCGCCCCTAAATCCCTCCAATATTAGTGTACTTTTTCATATTTAGCTCACTCTATAATGGTTAAACTTAATATAATTACTATTCAGATCAACTCAATTTAGATTCCAGGGTCCGCCTTGATTTTTTATGCTCGTTCTCTCGACTTGACTATAAATCAGTATCAACCAACAACTTTTAATAGCGGAATCAGAATTGGAGCGAAAATGAAATGATTTAATAAATAGGTTCAAATGATATACTTCCTCCGTCCCTTAACTTTGTCCCATTTTTTTTTATGTCCCATTAAATTTGTCTCATACCATATTTGAACGATTACAATTCATTCTTACTTTATTGAAATTTTACTCATGGCGGAGTGTTAATGGCTTAATGCTGAGTGATAATGATCTGACTATAAATACATTAACCAAGTATGGTAGGAGGGAACATTATATTGCTATGAACTAGTCATCAAGGTTATAATATGGGAAAAATTGTACACATATTTTCATTATTTTGTGCATCCCTATTCCATCTGCCTATGTATAATGCAATTATCTACAAAATGTAAAACATTTAAAAGTTGTCTAGGCAAGGTGTATGAAAAGTGCAGACCTATAATTACCTTAAAATTTGTAGCACTAATAATTTCATTCCTTTAAACACTTTTTAGTCACTACTTGAGTGCATTGCATTGTGAAATGTCACAATGTTGCTACGAAAAAACAATGCCAAAATTCATCAAACCTTTTAAAAAGACACTATTTTCCAACACAAAATCTCTTGAAACGCTAACTATTTAGGAAAACCGGATCATCAATTCTTCTTAATTATGAAAATGGCCACAAAACTAGAATTTGAAGTTTCTGACACATTTTTGAGTTTCCGAAATAAGGAAACGTGAGCCGCACAGAGTTTATGTGCATAATAGCATATAACTAAATATAGATGCTTTGTGGAAGTAATCTATTCCAGGATTTCCAACTAATTAAGAATTTAAGACTAACAAACAATGCATTTAAAAAGACACGGACAATCACATATATATACACGTTAGAGAAGTTTTTTTTGAAGAGTATACGTTAGAGAAGCTAAGAAATAATACAACACACTTCACCATTTGACCGTTAATTGTTCTTCTAGCTCATCTACATATTTATTTCGTGACAAACTCTTAATTGTAAATCTGTAATACGGAGTATATTACTCCATCCATTGACTTTTCTTAATCAATGACAACCAATTTTGACTAATGATATTTTTAAATATGAAATTATTTTGAATATGAAAATTATATCAAAATGTTTCTTATTCAATATATTTTCATAAAAATATAAAATTTATAAATTATATACAAATATAATAATTAAAATTATTGCCCAAAGTTTATCATCATTGATCATGAATCTTTTCGGGAAATATATATGGAGTAGTTTTTATATGCAGTTAGCTCATATATAGAACCAAACTCATACGCCACGTTCGGTTGATAAAAATACTCTCTGCGGTCCTAAATAAAGTTCAGTGTTTGACTTCACACAAATTAAGGAAATAAATTTGATTTTACTGTAGAGTACACTGTTGTGACACTGTTTGACACTGTTTTGCACTGTTTTGATGTAGATAATTTGCCAAATAAGGAAAGGAGAAGAAGTGTGAACTTTAATTTGGATCGGCCCAAAAAGGAAAGTGTGAACTTTATTTAGCTATACGACCGGAGGGAGTATCACATAAGAATTTTTAGCGACTACAATTGTGTTTGAAGTTACTATGATATACTCGTAGTTACTATGATGTAAACTTTGAATACAATTATAATAACTAAAAAATTACCATGTCACACTTTTATCCATGATTTTTTTAAATACCCCCTTCATCCCATTTTACTTGTCTTACTTTCCTTTGTGGGTTGTCCCAAAATAAGGACTTCCTTCGTTCCATAAAAGTTACAACATTGGAATTTCTGCACTATTCACACACCTTAATTTGACTACGATTTTCTAATAATATATATAATAAAAATATTCTGTATAAAATATTAATAAATTTGTATTAATGTAAATTTCCAATATATTAACTTTTTTAATGTTTACTAATACGTAAATAAATATAATTACAGTCCAAGTTGCGCGTTGTCAAACGTGAAAATCAAACTGTTGCAACTTTTATGGAACGGAGGATAGTATCACATTTCCCTTTTTGGAAAGAATTATGTGGTTCAAAACATTTCATTTTATTATACTCATATGTCAACCACAACGTTTACATTTTCAATCACTTTATTAAAAATTGTGTCCAAACCAAATAAGACATATAAAATGGAGGTAGTAGCATTTTAGGGAAAATCTCATATTATTTGACAAAAAATGGCACCTTTTTCTTTCAAGCAAATCAGCAAGTTGATGCTAACTCAAACTTATTATAGTTTTTATTTGTTGATATATAAACAAAATATATAATTTTGCAAAATGAGTGTGCAATTTCAATTAATTAATTAATTAATGAAGCAAGATGAATTTATATGGAATGGTGAGATACGTACGAGAAGATAGGGAAGGGAAGAGAGAGAAATGGCGGTGTAGCGGTCCAAGAAAGAGTCGGCGAGAGGGGCGACGAGGAGCGGGACCATGGAGGTGAAGCCGCACCAGTTGTTGACCATCTTCGCCGCCGACGAGTTGCTCATCTTCACCACATCTGTCAGATACGTCATCATATTTGACGCCACCCCTTTGAATGTAAATCTCTCCATTCCGGCCACCACTGTTCAATAAAAATTCAATCAATTAGAAGAAGAAAATTATAAGCGAGAATTCCCTAAATATGAGTAAAAAGGCTTTGAAATTTCAAAATAGGATTATCATGAATTTTATTTCTTGAATATGAGTAAATTCTGCTAAGTTTGACATTACTAAGCTTTAAAACATGACATTTTTTCCAAACTTGGCAGATTACTCCTATTCAGGGAATAAAAAAACACGATACTTCTATTTTGGAATTTCACAACGTTTTATCTCCTATTTAGGGCAATTTCTAAAATTATAAGAAACAAAAAAAAACGTAACATAAATAATACGGTCTTAGTATATACTTCTCCGTACTCAAATGAAATTTCCGATTTTACCTACACACATATTTATGTAAAGTAATCAGGGACGGATTCAGGATTTCTGGTCAAGGTCGGGGGGGGGGGGGCGAAATTTTTTCATGAGTGTAGGGGGTGAAATTTTTCTGCTAATGTAGCACGGAGAATTTTTTCCGCGAGTATAGCGGGGCGATTTTTTTTGCTAGTATGGGGCTCTACTGGAAATTTTTATTCAATTTTTTATTAATACATACACGACGACATTTAAAACTATTACATTCTAAGTTTAGATAATGGAAAAATAACTTTGATTTTATAATTGAAATGCTCTCAAAAAGTATCGATACATTAAATCGTAAAAATAGCAACTCAGAGAAAAGTTATTTGAAGATAAAGAGTTTAAAAGATATACATACACCAATACTTTTTAAATAACTTTTGCCTTCTTTAACCCCATGAATCTTTATCAAAATAAAGAATTGGTTTTTGGATTACAATTTTTGTCTAACAAAGAGGGTGTTTGTGAGTCATGAAGAGTTTTCTTATTATTAGAATAGTATGTATGATATTATTATTTTTTAGAATAATATTATATTGTTGATTCATATGTATGGTGCATATTATATTTGCATTAATGGTAAAATAAGTTAAAGTTTATTATCTATGCAATAATTAGTTTATCAAACGTAACAAGTAAATGAATTGTGTAATTTAATGTCAACAAAAATTTATATTTTGGATTCACCTCACATGATCTAAAAACTATTTAACTAGTGTGTCTGGTAGTTAATATCATTTGATATTTTACAAAAATTGAGTACTAATTATCTAATAAAGATAACTAAACATTACAAAACTAGGATTTTTTATATAATAAATATCCCAAGTCTTAAACAATGATCAAAGTTGTTCTATTATATTGTTTATTTGCTTAAGTATGTAAATTACTCCGTATTTTAGATGTTTCTGTTTATAAATCTCCAATTAAGTTTTACATTATGTAAGGCTATATATTAATTTTGAAAACTAAAAGTTAAGGGGGCGAACACTTATATATCTAATTAAAGTATGAAAATTTTTATGAAAATATTACATATATAATGGAAAATTTTAAAAGTCCAAGGGGCGGTTGCCCACCCACGCCCCCCCCCCCCCAATCCATTCGTGAAAGTAATAGAGTTTTGTTTTGACTTTTCACGTATACTCTCAATTTGTGTAAAATCAAACCAAAAGTGAGTAAATAACAAGAGTACTTGTGACTTTTGAGTTAAAAGTGGTTTCCTTTTATAAAAAATGATAATTTTTTATGGGACATTCATAAAAAGAAAGTGAGAACTTCTTTTCAGGAGGAATGTAGTAGTTATAGAGTACTTTAATTTTCTCATTAATCCGGACTGATTGGAATAGCCGTTTGGCCGACTCCATTTCAGACGTTTTCGTGTGAAATCCTTTGATGACACTTCGTGTTCACATTTTTCAAGAAGCCTTGATTATAGAGAATATTACCCGAAATAGGACTAAAAGGTTTGAAAATTCCAAAATAGGACTGTCATGTTTTTATTCCCAAAATAGGACTAATTACTACCATATTTTGGCAGTACCAGACTTCAAATATGACAATACTTTCTAAATTAGGCAGTAATTACTCATATTTTGGGAATAAAAAACATGATAGTCTTATTTTAGAATTTTCAAACTGTTTTAGTCATGTTTTGGGAACTTTCTCTTGATCATATATACAAAATTTCAGCCTAAATTTAATTTATAAGGCATTTAAATAGATAATCTAAAAACAGTGCGGTTTATACACACACACAAATATTCAGGCCGGTCATGAATTTCTTGACCGGAGCGCCGTCCGGCCATCGCCGTTTGGGGCAGTTCCCGATGATATTTTTTGCTGAAATTTTGTCTACACATTTTTCATCAAGTCTAGTTTATCCACACCAAATTTCAGATTAAAATCAACCAGGAAGGCAACCAAATAATTTTTTCAAGATAACTGCGTTTTATATGTATATTTTGGCGCAGTTAACTTCAAAAAATTATTTGACTGGTTTCCCGATTGAAGTTCTAGCTGATTTTTTGTGTGGATAAACTAGACTTGATGATGAACATTCTGTAAAAATTTCAGCAAAAATATCACCGGGAACCGGTGAGAAAAGTTCTCAACAGTTATATATACAGAGTATTAATTAATTTGCAGCATACCGATGAGGAGAATACATGACTTTGGCAATCCCTGTCCCCAAGCCATGGAACAACATGCAAGAGTAGAATTACTCTGATCTCTGTTGAAGACACTTCAAACAAGAAACTACATAGTTAAGTAACAGGCAGAGATCAGATATATATGAATGAAAAAACATGCTATAAGTACTCCATACATATGATATTAACAATTTGATGATTGTTTTGTTTTTGTTTTAAAGTTAAAGAAGGAAGTTACGTACGTTAAAGCAAATTAAGAAAGCAGACGCAACATGGGAAATAATTAAGGATGGAAGAAGCTAAGTGCGGGTGGCGGGGCAGGAGTTTCATGGATCCGTTCGTTAATTAATTACTCACACTCCACAAATTATAGAAGCTAATTAATTAAGTGTACAAAATTGAGTTGCTTTAAGTAATTAGATTACATAAATCACACATCTTAGCCTTTATATGTGCGTGTTTTGTCGCATAGTTTGGTGAGTGATGAAGTGATGTGTGTGTTTTTATCATGAAGGGTTGCTTTTGTACGTAAAGGCAGGGCTAGTTAGTAGAGATTGATCCCTCATTTGGAAAAAGGGCATTCAAAAAGCAAATAATCCGAATATCACTACATGCACTACATATGATTAACCAACCAAAAGCATGACACCATAGTGTTAAAATATTCGTCTCATATCCCAAAGTTTTAAAATAATAAAGCTACTCTGATAGGTTGACCTCGTAGAATGAAGTTCGGGTCTTAACATGATTTGAGGACCAAGTCCATCTAGTTTGATTGCTTGTTTAGCACCCATGGATATCTGGTTAAGAATCTCTTCGCCTCGTTTATACACCACCTGATATTGTTTAGCCCGATTCGAGCTAAGGGGACATGTTAAAGTATTTGTCCCATACCCGGAAACTTTTAAAATAATACGCGATAAAACACTATAAGATTTTGGGCTACTTTTTGGGATGAATCTCGTGTCTTAACACATACAAGCACACATATACGACACATACATGCTATACATAATACATATACGCATACTAGCTATACCCTTTTTCTACTTAAAGAAGTTCTCACATTCTCTTTTGAATGTGTTTAAATATAATATGACGGAATATTACCATGTTTTGTAAAAAAAAAAAAACTAACAATTACCACAACTACACACAAGTTGACACTAACGAACACAAAGAGTATCATAACCTTTATTTTTGGCCAAAAGTGAAATTGCCCTAAGCTTATTCATCTCGTCAGGCTGACTTGATACGAAGTTACGAAAACTACTACGTACTCTCTCTATATAGTTTGGATCTAATAAAAAGATGTTTTCCCATGATAAATGAGAACCAGTCTTGTGCATTTAAATGGATATCTAATGTACCTAATTAATAGGTCAAAAATGCACTAGATTTGATAAAAAAACACACTTGTGACAGTTTGGTATGTAACCAAACTAAACTTCTGTGTCACTGAAAAAGTGTAACATAAACATCTAATGGGTACCACATTTGATAAAACAAACACTAATTCGCATATCTCAGTTTCTCACATACAGGAAGCTAATTAAGCATTCTTGTTATTGGAATCGCACTGTGTAAACTATGTTCGGCTCTTTTACATTTGGTGGAATGGTGGTTTATTATTCGTTATTCTGATTTTGTTATTAGGGATCCGAGCAACAAAATAAATTAAAAATTTGCTGGTCTGGTCTGATCTGATCTAGTTTGATCTGGTTTGATCTGATCTGGTCTGGAAAATGTCTGATCTATATGTATTTTATAACTATGTAAATCTAGTATGATCTAATCTGCTTTGGTTTGGGACTGCAAACAGTTCAAAAGAAAACGTAAAAATAGAACCGTTAAAATCGAACTCACCCTAAAGTTGGTATCCAATTTTGAATCACGATCTTCGTAACAAGCTTTAAACGGAAGACCCGCACGGGTAGTTCAGTTGGTCGAGTGGTGGGAAAATTGGACCAAGTGACCAAGGTTCGAAACCCGCAGCGACCGTGTGGAGGGTTACAGAACCTGAAATAAGGCTGAACCTCTGGTGCGCACGTGTATAAGGCCTACCACCGTTTTGCTGACTGAGTCATCGTGATTAACCTTCCCACCATCCTGTCGGGTCGGGTGGGGGCTCCTGGGGTGAGTGATGCCACCTTTTTGGACCAAGTTTTAAACAGAAGGTGGAGTAGTACGTGGCAGAAAGGCGGCCGATAAGAGGGATTTGAACTCACCCGATGTCATGAGTAATGATGGCATAATAATTAATTAAGTACGTTAGGCCTCATGTTAAAGTTTAATTAGTTGGCTAATTAAGGTGAGATTATAAATGATATGCTTGAATGCTTGATGGGTGGTTCCAAAAGTAAATTAAAAGATGAATAGCGTGAAGAGTTTCAAGAAAGATTGACGGAAAACATATAAGAAATAATTGCCCTTAATGAGATTAAAAACATTGTCTAAATTCCACAATAGGACTTTAAGTTTATTATTCCCTAAATAGGACTAAAGATTACATTTTTACCCCTAATTTAATTAAGCCCCTGATTTAAATAAGTCCCTGCAATTCATCGTAACACTTCGCCGACTCTGCAATTCATCGCAGAACATCTCTTCCTCTCATGGAAGGCTGCTCCACCATCGACTGTGGCCTCGCATCGCTGTTCCGCCGTCGACGGTGGCTCTGCAATCATCGACGATCAGGTAGGTCTTTTTCTTCCTCCTCTTCTTCCTCTTCTTCTTCTTCTTCTTCTTCTTCTTCTTCTTCTTCTTCTTCTTCTTCTTCTTCTTCTTCTTCTTCTTCTTCTTCTTCTTCTTCTTCTTCTTCTTCTTCTTCTTCTTCTTCTTCTTCTTCTTCTTCTTCTTCTTCTTCTTCTAATCCTCTTCAATTTTCTGGTCCTCTGTTCTCTTCTTCTTTGGATCTTTTGGATTTGAGTTTTATTTGTGTCCTCTTTTTTCTTCTTCTTTAGATTTCAATTATTTATTTATTTATTTATTTATTAATTTGGAACCTCAAAATGCCATAAATTACAATCACTTAGAAAAATGTCACTTTTACGACATTACATTTATCAAGATGACAGTTCAAAGAAGAAAATGACATCTCCAAAGAGTAATAATGTCATTCGCATGACACTTTCGAAACAAAAATGACATTTAAAATGTCAATTTTTTGAGTAACAATGTCAGTCTCAGTGTTGAATTTGAAATCTTAAAAATGTCAAAATCCCAAGTTTCATACTTGCAGACCTCCAATGAGAATGTCAAGAATAATAACATGATGATGGAAGTTTCGTATAAAAACTGACATTCTCAATTATGTCATTCTTAGACAAGTCATAAAAATGCCATAAAATGTCATAACAATGACATTTTCTTATGGACATATGACATTTTCAGATTGTCATTTTGATATATATACTGTCACAAATGTGGCAGTTTTTTCAAATAACAAATAATTTTGACATTCTCAGATTATAAAAGTGGCATTTTTCAGAATAAATAAAATTCAAGTCCAAAAAAATCCCAATCAATAAATAGAATTTTAAAAGGTAATAGATGAATAGAAAAAAACAGAAAACAGAGTGCAGGAGGGGGGAGAAGTGCACCAGGGGAAGAAGAAGAAGAAGAAGAAATAAGAAAGAAGAAAGAAGAAAGAAGAAAGAAGAAAGAAGAAATAAGAAGAAGAGGAGGAGGAGAAGGAGATTACCTGCGGTCGACGGAGGAGGTGCGTTGCAAGGCCATAGTCGGTGGCGGAGCTGCAGTTCATAGGAGAATAGTTTGATGCGATGCGGACTGCGGACTGGAGTTTTAATATTAAGGGTAATTTTGTCAAGCTACTGCAATTTAGTCCTAAAAAAGTCCAAAAAAACATGATAGTCCTAGTTTTGCATTTTTCTATTCTTTTAGTCCCATTTAGGGAATTTACTCAACATATAACTAAAACATAACACAAATCCATTGAAAAGATAAAAGGAAAAAAGAGCAAAAAGGATTAAGTAAGCTAACCCTTTGTATTATTTTTGAAACATCACTTAAGTTCATGTACTAAAAATAGTTATCATATAAATATATATAAGTACGTACGCTTACTTCAAAAGGAACGAATAGTAGAGAAATTTAAAACTAAAAACCCTAAAAACTGAAAATGGCTACCGGTTACCCCAAACAACCTATTGAAAATGTCAACTCGATATTTTATTTCATTTTTCAGAAATTATATATAGTTAATGAGAGTGATAAAATTACACTAGTATATAGAATAAACTACTATTGAAATATACAATTGATAGCTCAATATGAAAAGGTAGTTCAACCCGGACTTTTTCAGTTTTAGTAGATTAAGTACGTTTTTAACCAGACTAATTTCAATCCAAATTAAAGACCAAATAAGATGAGACGAGACCCAGGATCGAATCCCGCAAGCAGCAATTTGAGAGTAACCTCTCAATGTTAGGGAGATTCTTTGTGCGCAACGAGCACTGATCTAGCTTCTATGCTCAGGCGAGGTGAGTCATCGATCATGATTTACAATCTTTCATATGTCGCGTCTGGGATCCATAGAACAAAGATGGGAGCTGTTAATTTAAAGAAAGCAGTTCCTTAGCTTGTTCCACCACGAAAGTATTCTTGTGCCTTTAATTATGCAGGAGTGCGTCCAATCTAACTAAGATAATTCATGCATGTCTAGCCAGCCTCGCACAAAGATTTTGATCCTTTTTAGATACAAAAAATCAGGATACTATACTTGGAATGTCACGAATCCCTACATATCTTTTTCATCTTAACGACATTATGTCATCATGCATCCAAAGCAACATAATTTGTTTTTATGTAAACTCTTCAATTCAATCTCAATTTGCTAAACCCCTAAATCTGTTATTTCTGTATAATGTTGCAAATGCAGTCCAAATTACATGTATCGTACCACGGGACAATCACAGGTGTAGTGGACTAATTTGTTATTCTGTGTGTCTCAAATTGAAATGTATTTTGCAGAAATAAAACGTTGATGGACGATATATTTTATATTATTTTCTAATTCGCATTTATCCTGCTAAGATTGTCTCATTTCTTCTTTTAGGGAAATCTCACTAGTTTTGTCTCATACCAAATTTGGTAAAATTGGCAAGACTTCAAATTATTCTTATTTTATTCTTACTTTATCAATTCAATATCAACTACATGAATTCACTTTTCTTAATAACGGTGTCACTCTCTCATAGTCTCATGTCAGTGTTAGTGAGATGGAGGTAGTAATGTTGAAACTATTGATGTTGATTGAAATTACTCCATATATGTATATTTAGAAATTATGGCGATTTTTTTTCTAAAAGATGCCAAAAAAGGAAATTTCTCCCTATTACTCCAGCGTTTTTCTGATATCTCAATACACTTACTCCATATATATTTTTCTAAACTTTAAATGGAAATGACAA